GAAAGTTATCCATGACAGGTTGTTTACATTGTTATCATGTGATCATTATATGACTAATCATAGAGTTCACGGTACCCAGTTATCGGCAACAGTGATCCACTGTGTCCAGTGGACAGAGCAGTCACAGAATGGGCACGCTGAGCGCTTCTGAGCAGGAACAATCATGTATATATAAGTGACTGAGCCAGCACATGCCAACCCGCTGGAGGAAACGTATTGATTAAAAATACCCGTTGGGTATCATTGGTGAACATATTATATTCCTATATTGGCCCACTGACACCTACTGAATAAGTACAAAATTTGCTTCAGATTTAGTTTGTGAAAAAACTGGCTAAAAATAGGATAAGTTATATGGCTGTGGTAGTAACATTTTGGCACTGCTTAAAAAATGCAGTTACTATAAATATCCCTCCAAATGGAGGAAGAGATTGTCTAAAAATAATATTGGAGTTTTTGTAGGAAGAAACTATGGCTACTTGTACAGCTGTTGCTGTGATATTTAACCGAGGAAATAACCACCAGTTTATGTATACCCGTTGCAAGGCAAAATAATATATAGATGCAGATAATATACACATTCAGATTAGGAAGTGCCAACCCACCTTTTGACAATGGGTGTTGTGAGGGAGAACCTATGGCTATTGGATACAACCCTACATTAAACTTACTAAACCCACAACAGTAAAATCAGTCTGTATATGCAGTAAAGCATGCTTGTTATACTCACTGTGGAACCTAAGGGGTTAATCCTCTGCATTGAGAAAAAAGGCTGTTTGATCCTTTCTTCTCTGCCCCTCCTCTTGTTCAAAGCCATTCTGCACATGCTCAGTTTAGTGTGTATTGCTAGAAAGGTTTCTTTTTTTTCTTGGGAGAATGCATGTGATCAGCACAGGGCCAATCATCACATCCAGACAGAGGTTAGGGGTTTTGCATCCTCCTAGAACAGAAAGAAAACTCTTACTACAAGCTTTAACCAGTGCTCTGCTGAACACTGATAGAAGTCACAAGACTGCTCTAATGCAGGCCATAGACAGGTTGTTTATCGGCCGAACTTTCGTCCGCACGAAAAATCACCGTTAGTGGGGCCAGCCTGTCGGCCGTTTTTCGTGGATCTTCACATTTATTTTTATCGGTCATGTTGGAAAATCCACAAAAAACGGCCGTTTTTCATGGACATTGGTGGCAGCATTGGCAACGCGGCCGACCTATTTATTGTTTATCGGCCGAAAATTCGGCCGATAAACGGCCAGTCTATGGCCTGCCTAACTGCTGATGAGAAAAGGCATTTAGCAGTTTATATTTACTAAAATAATTGCACTTCCATGTTCTGTGTCCTGTGGGAGACCAGATATAGTGAATGCAGGGTCCTGGGTTTAGTAACACTAAGGTAAAAAATGTCCTTGTGTCTGTATCTCCCTCTTACCCCCACTTAGGGCTCATTTACACTGTTGAGCGGTCATTCCAGTACAGTCCCATCGCATGACAAGGCAAAATGCATTGTCGCCTACGTACCCAATGTACACCACTGCGTTGCGGTGGTGTGCTGAAAAAGAGTAGTACATGCACTACTGTTTTTCAGCTCACCACCACCAACTTAACTTTGTCTGTGTGATATTTCAATAACTTTTTTTTTTTTTTCTTTTAAAACAAACAAGGACCAGTGCAGTACGGAGCGGTGATTCCTGCCGGACCACACCGCTACGTTATAAAGCCGTGACTGGTGTGAATGGACCCTTAAGGTTACCCGAGTCCTCTCTTGATCCAGTGCTGTGCCCGTCTATAATGGCATTCTGCTCTCTCTTCACAGGACTCAGGGGCAGTGGTGAGAGTCATTAGCTCCTGCTGCTGTCAAACCATGCGAGGAGAAAGTGGCATCGAGCTGTACTGTGTCTATGGACGCACATAGCCCAACTCAGGAGCGAGTTCACACAAGTGCCCCATAGCGAATGGCTTCCCATGGTGGTCATGCAGAAGAGAAGGAAAAAATAGCACCGACAGGGGGACCCCAGAAGAGGACGTTCAGGGCTGCTGTGTCCAAAGCGACTGCTCAGAGCAGGTAAGTATAAAAGTTTTACAACCACGTCAAAGCAGCAGTAAACTCTATTTTTCAAGTTGTATCTTTAGGTAATCTTACAATCAGGCTTACCTAAAAGGTACATTGAACATCTAAACGTGTACAGTTTAGGAGATATTCACATCAGCAACAGTTGGTAACGTCACCCATGCATGCGCAGTGACACTCTGCATTCAGGGCATACAGTATGCCGTAGAATGCAGAGCACCATGCTATTGGCGGGGTGCCCGCATGCATGTGTTGGAGTGGTAATTAGGGATGTGCCAATATATTAGCAGCCAAAACTGATCAGCGGAAGGCAGTGTTAAAGTCAATTTGCCAATAGGAAAAAAAGCTGCTGATAATGGTGTCGATACATGCAAAGTCTCATCTCATAGGCTTTCATGCAAAAATGCCCGCTAGTGACTTCAATGCAAAATCACATCTCATAGACTTTCATGCAAAGTCGTGTCACTATTGATTTTAATGCAAAAACGCCCCCTAGTGGCATCAATGCACAATCGCGTCCCCATTGACTTCAATGCAAAAACGCTCCCTAGTGACGTTTCCGTGTTCGGCCAAGTGCATCCTGAATTTTCTGTTTCAGCAGAATTTTCATTTCTGTGCACCACTAGATGTCATCGCAGCCCCAGCCACTGAAAGAGCTTAAGCCCACGAACATGGAAGGAAGACTTGGTGAAGATGGAAGCACCAGGGAGCTGTGACAGCGACCACTTTAAAAAGATACAATAATACCTCAGTTTAAGAATGCCTCGGTTAAAGTAATTTTCGGTTTACAAATGAAAATCCACTGAAAACAATGCCTCGGTTTACAAATTTTGTATGAATTTTTTTCGCAATACGAAGTGTATGTCCGAGCTGATTTTTACATGCAATTGCTTTTTTTTTCTTCACTATAGCTCACAGAATTAGCTGTCACTTTCCCCAAAGTTAACGGAAATGTTGTTTCTTTTAAGAAACTAAAAAGAAACATTGTTTGCCCCCCCCCCCCCCCTTCCTGACCTGCCAGGCTGCATACTCTGAAAAGGGTCTGGTATGGATTTTGGGGAGGACCCCCACGCCATTTTGTTTTAAATTTTGGCGTGGGAGTTCCCCTCAAAATCCATACCAGACACGAAGGGCTTGGTATGTATGGGAAGGGGGACCCCACGCAGTTTTTTAAATTATTTTTTTAATTGCTGGCAATTCTTTTACATTCAGCTGTCAGTGGGGAACCCCGCTGACAGCTGAAACATTAACACATGGTTGTCACTAAAACTAACTCATAACTCATGCGGTATTTATTAGTGTTTACTTTTTTCTGATCTCCGGAACAGATTAATTGGTTTTCAATGCATTCCTATGGGAAACGGTGTTTCAGTTTAAGAATTTTTTCCTATAAGAAAAGTCCTGCAAATGAATTAAATTCTTAAACCAAGGTTTTACTGTATATATATATATATATTTTTTTTTTTTTGTATCATAATTAAATTTCAATCCAATTCTGCATCTGTCACCCCCTCCCCCCAGCTCTAAAGCCGAAAACTGAGTGATCAGACACAGCACTGATCACTCAGTTCTCCTCCTCCACTCTGACTGTCAGCCACCTGCTCTCTGCTCTGCCCCTCCAGTGCTCACTGGAGTGCTGGGCTGTGCAGAGGGCCGAGCCAGGTGCTGATCCATGCTCCTTGGTGGATCCCAACTTTAAAGTCACAATCTTTCCCCAGTCTGGACCAGCTAAGTGACGTCAGCCAACAGTAAACTTTAGCCCACTGTCGCCTGAATATGGGTCACAGAAGTGCAGAACAGCAGCTTTTGCTGTACTTCTCCTTTAAAGCGGAATGACACTGCATCTGAACACCACAAACCAAATGCTATTTCATTTATTTTTAATGCTGAAGACAAACTTCCCCATCCATCCATATCCCCATACATTATTTTGCTGGTAAATCACTTTGAAAACCCCCCCTAGCATTTCTGGCCGTTGGCATCTTGAGTAAGGGCAAATGACTCATGTAGCATTTACTTCCTGGAATCCATCTGTCCATAGCTCAGGCACACATGCAGGAGGGTGTGTTTAGCTGAGAAACCCCCATCCTCCACTCCTGACGACTCCAGGGATGTATGTCATCATTTGTCTAGGCATGGAAACCAGGAAGTAACTGAAGAAATGTAAATAAAAAGTTTAAAACAAGTAAATCTGATATACTTTCCAATCTATTTACTAATGCTAGCAGCATAAGGATTCCAATAGTCAGTGTTGACTGAAAGAGTGAGGATCCACTTTAAGGTCTGTATACAACATTTACAGACTGGAGATGGATGGTACTTTAAAAGCAACAAGAAAGCCTGCTGTTCACACTGCTCTCATATAAGCTGAAGCCTGTGTGAAACAGGACTGAGCATTTTTACAGTCAGAACCGACCACTGCCATGGCAGGACCCTGGGATGAGGATGATGGTGGTGGTTACCTTGACAATCCCTTGCATCTTGTCGTGCAGCCCTCGGAACTCATCTAGCGGCAGATCAGGGTACAGCTCCCTCTTCAGCAACTCCTCATTGATCTCCGAGTTCCCATAATACCTGCTCTGAGCGATCCCATTCAACAAACCACTCAAAGATTTGACGTTCTCTGCATCAGCCATGACAGCTACAAGTCCACGTGATTCTGCCATACCTCACGTGACCTCACAGGCGGCGCTGACAGACACACCCGCCGCCATGTTTATGGTGGGCAAAGCAAAGCTTGGGCGTGCTGGAAGGCGTCTGAACGTCATCACGCAATGTAGAGGCTCTCTTACGTCCTAGAAACCCCTCCTTCAACCGGCGTTTTGTTCTGGAAGCTTCAGGCTCCGTATTGTGACAGGGGCGAGCTGCATCCATCGTCATCCTCCGCCCAGCCGAGCACCCGTGATATCCGAGTGTGTGGAGCGCTCTGTCCGTCATGCCGGATAACTCCCTGCCTAAAGTCATGGCAGCGGCGCCCGGGGGAGGAAATGGAGCCAGCAAGAAGAGGGGAGCCTACCAGGACCGGGATAAGCCGGCCCAGATCCGCTTCAGCAACATCTCCGCCGGCAAAGGTGAGCCTCCGCCCGGGGTGGGCCGCATGGGGCGACCATGTGACTGGAGCTCGGCCGGGGGGGGAGAGACAGAGCGCCCTCTAGTGCTGTGGTGGATATACACTGTACAATGGCCATAGCTGTGTAATGGGAGGACACTCCTACAACCCAGTCTGCTTCCAATCAGTCGGGGGCCTTGTACTCTATAGCTGATGGCAGATCGGAAGAAGATTGTACGGTGTGTGGTCACGTCCAATGGGTGTGATGGCAGATCCGAAGATGATTGTACGGTGTGTGGTCACCTCCAATGGGTGTGATGGCAGATGTGGAGAAGATTGTACGGTGTGCAGCAGTCTCCTCCAATGTATGTGATGGCAGATCTGAAGAAGATTGTACGGTGTGTTTGGTCACCTCCAATGGGTGTGATGGCAGATCCGAAGAAGATTGTACGGTGTGTGTGGTCACCTCCAGTGGGTGTGATGGCAGATCCGAAGAAGATTGTACGGTGTGTGTGGTCACCTCCAGTGGGTGTGATGGCAGATCCGAAGATGATTTGTATGGTGTGTGGTCACCTCCAATGGGTGCGATGGCAGATCAGAAGATGATTGTACGGTGTGTGTGGTCACCTCCAATGGGTGCGATGGCAGATCAGAAGATGATTGTACGGTGTGTGTGGTCACCTCCAATGGGTGCGATGGCAGATCAGAAGATGATTGTACGGTGTGTGTGGTCACCTCCAATGGGTGTGATGGCAGATCCGAAGAAGATTGTACGGTGTGTGTGGTCACCTCCAGTGGGTGTGATGGCAGATCCGAAGAAGATTGTACGGTGTGTGTGGTCACCTCCAGTGGGTGTGATGGCAGATCCGAAGATGATTGTATGGTGTGTGGTCACCTCCAATGGGTGTGATGGCAGATCAGAAGATGATTGTACGGTGTGTGTGGTCACCTCCAATGGGTGTGATGGCAGATCCGAAGAAGATTGTACGGTGTGTTTGGTCACCTCCAGTGGGTGTGTGTGTGATGGCAGATCCGAAGATGATTGTATGGTGTGTGTGGTCACCTCCAATGGGGTGCGATGGCAGATCCGAAGATGATTGTATGGTGTGTGGTCACCTCCAATGGGTGCGATGGCAGATCAGAAGATGATTGTACGGTGTGTGTGGTCACCTCCAATGGGTGTGATGGCAGATCAGAAGATGATTGTACGGTGTGTGTGGTCACCTCCAATGGGTGTGTGATGGCAGATCCGAAGAAGATTGTACGGTGTGTGGTCACCTCCAATGGGGGTGATGGCAGATCTGAAGAAGATTGTACGGTGTGTGCCCACCTTCAATGGGTGTGATGGCAGATCCGAAGAAGATTGTACGGTGTGTGGTCACCTCCAGTGTGTGTGATGGCAGATGTGGAGAAGATTGTACGGTGTGTGGTCACCTCCAATGGGTGTGATGGCAGATCTGAAGATGATTGTACAGTGTGTGATGGCAGATCTGAAGATGATTGTAGGATGAGTGGTCACCTCCAGGGGGTGTGATCAGAGTGATGTATAGGGATGTGTGCTCAGGGACAATGTCCCAGTCTTTCATTAGATTCCTCCCCCGTATTGCAGAGTGTGGGGGTCTCCTTATGTTTAGGGTTTATCACCCGGTTGCATTTGTTGCACCAAATTGGAGATGACAGAGGAAGGGGCCGGCCCAGCCTGAGGGTGCCATGGATACATGTGTGATTATGCTCCTCCCCTTTTATAAACAGCAAGTATGGCACTTTGTATTCACAGCAGTTAAAGGAACAGTCCACCTCTTGCAAAAATTTGAAGCCGGACTAAAGTTCCAGAGTGGCAGACAGGCTTTATATTGCAGAAGAGACGCACAATGGGGCTGATTTACTAAAGGCAAATATACTGTGCACTGCAAGTGCAGTTGTTCCACTTTGCAAAGGATACCCAATCGTGTGCAAGGAAAATTAAAAACAGCATTTTCAGATTTAGAGCAAGTGCACTTGGGCAGCACAGTGGCTAAATGGTTAGTTCTTCCTCCTGGCAGTTCTAAGGATGTTGGTTCAAATCCCAACCACGGCACCACTTTCCTGGAGTTTGCATGTTCTCCCTGTGACTGCGTGGGTTTCCGCGGGTACTCCAGTTTCCTCTCACACTCCAAAGACATGCAGGTAGGTAATTGGTTCCTGTCTAAATTGTCCCTAGTATATGTATGTATGAATGTAAGTTAGGGACTTGAGATTGTACACCCCTTGAGGGTTAGGGACTGATGTGAGTGTAATATATATATATATATATATATAAAACGCTGTGTAAATTGATGGCAATATATATTTACCTGTAATAAATATGTGCCGTTAATAAATCAACTCCATTGTTTCTTCTGCAATAAGATGCCTACCTGCCTGTTCACTGTCTTCTCCAGCATATGTGCAGCTCAGCTGACATCGGCGGCACTGTCCCTGTGTGTTGGGATGACAACCTCATGCACAGGAGTGACGTCATCCTGCACCAGCCAATGAAGACAGACAAAGACAGGCATCTAGGAGAAAATGCCAGCAAGGGACAGAAACTGTTGAAGTATTCGCAAATACAACTTGTTTTAGTTCCACTTTATTTCGCCAACATAAATCCATCTCACCCTCTCTGAAGCCTAATGACAGCTAACCTCTTCCCTACTCCACCTCCCACCATCTTCAAGCTAACTGAGAATCAGCAGCTCCAAACTGCACTGTCCCATGTGATGCAGCCAGTGTGTGCTCTCCCTGACTGGAAGTTTGGGGAAGCAGCCCTAAAAAGGCAGGATACAACACAACAGATTTTTTTTTTTGTATTGGGCGTCTGGATGGAGTGAGGGGTTTAGAGACTTAAAAACATTCCTACTGACTTTACAAAGAGTTTTCACCATCCTTCTTGTATTTTGCATCATGATAAACAGAAATCCATCTTCAGGGGAGACTCCTTGTTGCTGTAGGAATGTTCGGATGCTGGCTGGTACTCTGCTGGTATACGCTTAAAAATCAGGTGGACCAGTCAGCCTACCACGGTCTACATAGTCTATTAATTTATCAAACGTTTACTTTAGATAGAAACGATAATAGAATGTTTGCTAGCTGAATGGAAGATGGTTGTACTCACTCAAGTAGGTTTTCTGGTATGAAAGCAGAATTTGTCGTACTTTTGTGGTGTAAGAGTAAACTGGTGTTTTATTTATTTATTTATTTTTCTCTTGTGAAGCTGTTGCTGATGCTGTCAGAACCAGTCTTGGACCAAAGGGCATGGATAAAATGGTAAGCTATACATATTCTAAAACATGATGTGAAAATATCTGTGTTGTTCCTGATTTTAACATACTCTGCATTTTTAAGATCCAGGATGGTAAAGGCGATGTAACAATTACAAATGATGGCGCAACCATTTTGAAACAAATGCAAGTTTTGCACCCAGCAGCAAAAATGGTGAGTTTTTGATTTGAATTGTTTTCTAAATGATATGGTGTATTCCTTTTTAAAGGGGAAAACCTTTAGAAGAATATGCAATTCCTTTACAACTGGGAACAGAACCATCCATTTTGTTGGTGAATTGAGGTGCATCCACCCAGATACACTGAGCCCAAGAAAGAAACATCCTCAATGTCTGGACATGGAATAAACATAATGGCGTTTAGAAATAGTATCACAAAAGTCTGTAGTCTTGTTTAGGCGACAGATTAATCTTGTGAGTTTTCTGTTTGTGACCTATGCTTTTGTTGGGTACATACTATGCAGGATATTGACTACTGCTAAATATTACCATATTTTTCGCTTCATAAGATGCACCTGACCATAAGATGCACCTAGATTTTAGAGGAGGAAAACAAGAAAAAAATATTTGGAACCAATGGACTGCGGACGCAGTGCAGGAGATGGCCAGAGGCTGCGGACGCAGTGCAGGAGATGGCCAGAGGCTGCGGACGCAGTGCAGGAGATGGCAGAGGCTGCGGACGCAGTGCAGGAGATGGCCAGAGGCTGCGAATCTTTGGGGGGGGGGGGGGGGGGTACCCAGATTTGACAGGTAGGAGTTATCTAACCCGTAGTCTTGTGGGACACGTGACAGGTCCCAGAAGACTACAGGCGGCCATTCACAAAGCTCGGTGCTTCTCGTGCATGTGCAGTGGGAAGCCGCAAGCTGTCACAGCCAGGTGCCCACACTGAAGATGCCTGGGCCAGGGGGAGAGAAGACGGTCGATGGAAGCAGGACACCGTTGGACCAAGGAACAGGTAGGACCGAGGAGCAGGTTCTTCTGCACAGTAGAGCTGAGCGGCCAGCCCCGCTCTAATACGGCGGTAGCGGGAATACCAGTCCGGCCGCTCCATATTCGCTCCTTAAGATGCACAGGGGGGGGTGCGTCTTATGGGGCGAAAAAAAATTGGTAATTTCACAAGTATTTAACACATGCTTGTATTTGTTGACATCCAGTCGCAGTCCATCCACCCCTCCTAGGTTGCCAGATAATGATAGTAGTACTTCAGCTGCCTCACTTTCAAGCACCCAAAAATACCCATCAGATGAAGTATTCACCTGAAACTTCAGGAACACCGTTCTTAGAGTCAAACAGTTGTGTTATAGCCTCCTGATCATCACCTCTCCATGTATTCACCCATAGCAACAGGCTGTTCTTCCTTCTACTAGCTCTGTGGTCACTCCCGAGCAGCACAGCTAAGGAGGACATATTTAGGGTGGTACATGCAACCTGGTCACAGTCTACAGCCACCACCCTCAAAGCATTCCACTTTACAGAATTTGTAGGTTCTTTTCTCTGCAGTTTTATAATGTGACTGTGTGTGGCTCTGTCTGTACAGTTGTGTCTAAATCCCCCCCCCCCCCCACTAACTGTCACAATTTTATAAAAAAGAGGGGCTCCCTGTTATCCATCATTCATTTATTGTATTCTGTGAATAGGAAAACTACACTTCCAACAGCCTTTGCGGCTATCGGCTTCTTTTTCTCAACTACCACGTTGCTGTTGTGCGCTATGGTAGTCTTGTCAGTGTAAAACTGTCTGCTCGTCCAAGGTACAAGCAGACAGATTACACTGGCAGTCTGAAGGAGACCTGCATGGCACCAGCGATCCACTAATAACTGGTGCAATGCTGTCTAGGCTCTTAAAACTAAAAAATAATTAGTAAATACACACTTTTACCTGTAAGATAAATAAGCATTTTATTATTTTTGTTAAAAGTTTTCCCTTAAACTCCACCCCCTTCCCCCCCCCCCCCCCCCCCCCCCCCCCCCCCCCCCCCCCCCCCCCCCCAATCAATGTGGGTGCATTTATTTATTTTTGCAATAGGCTAACTATGACTGTTAATTCCTTTTCCAGCACACTTCTGGCATTTCTTTGTAATTTCTGAAAGCAAATCCTGGTCACTTCTGGCTTAATATCTTGGCCCCTGGTGTGAACTCTGACTGAAGTCCGTTACATGTTCCCTTCTACCAACCCAATAGTGCCTCCTTTTATTATTCTTTCCTCATTTAGCAACAGTGAAAAAAATGGGTTATTAGAAGGGAATTACAAAATTATTTTGGTACTTTAGGAAGCTAAAAATTGCTCTGTTGGAAGTTATGAGGCCTATTCACACTATTTATTTTCCCTTTTTTTTGTGCATTAAAGGAACTCATTAATTTGGAATTAGTTTTCGGCTTGTGAAAAACATGCACTTGCTTGTTTACGTAACCCCTTGATGCCGACGTAACACAAATATGCAATCTCACAGAACTGGGCTTTTTTCCGTGGGGCCGCATATTTGCGTACCTGTCTTTGTGCTGGGAGCGCGCTACACAGCGCGCTCCCAGCACAAAGACCGTGGTGTCACTGAGAGCACCGGGTCCCATTCTAACGATCGGGACCCAGGACTCCCAATTCTGGGTCACATGATCGCTGTGATAGCCTCTGATTGGCTATCACAGTGATCAGTCACTGTACAGCCCGTGGTCTCTCTCTCTGTCTCTCTCTCTCTCTCTCTCTCTCTCTGATACATTGCATCTCTCTAACTCCTGGCAGAGAGAGAAAAAAAATGTTTTTGAAAAAAAAAAAAATAGATAAATAAAAAAAATAGCTGGATCAAGGTTTGATCTAGTTCAGTGCCAGGGTTAGTGTTTGGGACAGGATCAAAGGTCAGGATTTAAAAAAATTGGTGTCAGTGTGTTTTAGGTTAAAAAAAAAAAAGACAAAAACAAAATGCGCACTATTGTTTCTGGGCTGTACTACCGGGTACAAACAATAACATACACAAATATGGTATCGCTGCGACCGTCAAGAGCTGGAGGATTTATTTTGGGTTGTTCTTTGGTGGTAGGTTATGGTAGTAAAAAGAAACACACAGCTAAATAAAAAAAAAAAAAAATTTCACCATTTTGGGCCAGTTTTCCTTCGATAATAAAGAAAAAAAATCAGGAGATATCCATTACCATTTACCACCAAATGAAAGCCCAATTTGTCCTGAAAAAAACGCGCTATAATCCACTTGGATGCAAAAAGTAGTTGTGATGATATGTACGGTTTTACTATCACATGTCAACGTTGCAAAATTGTGCTTAGGCATTTAGATTTGTTTTACCCTTAGGCGAGAAGGGGTTAATTGGTAGATTCAGCCTGATTCTTAACTAGGCCATTCCTTCCAGATCAGACACAAGGGATGCAGTTGATTTGAAGCAGTACTGTATTTTAGTGTGTGTATTTTGGTTGTTGTGCACAATGGTATGTCCATTTGTTAATGCTTCTTTTTTTTTTTTTTTTTTTTTTTTTTTTTTTTTTATTACAGTTAGTTGAGTTGTCCAAGGCCCAAGATATAGAAGCTGGAGATGGCACAACATCTGTTGTAGTCATTGCTGGATCTCTTCTGGATGCTTGTGCTAAGTTGCTACAAAAAGGTATTTGTACATGCTGTTTCATTGCAGGTTAAAATGTGTCTGTAGACAAAATTTAGATTTTTGGTTTGCTTGTAGAATCCCTTTTCTTGGAGTAAATCATAGGACACAGACAAGTTAATAGTCATTTCTACATAGCTTGTGCTGCCACCTTCCAGTGAATGGACACTGGCCAGAGGAAAAGGGAGGAATTCCCACTCCGCTTAGTTGAGAGGGGGTTATGCCTAAATCACAGTTTTGTAGCAAGCAACGAGGAACCCACGCTGAAGGGGAGGGATCTCTGTTGACCTGTGATGTACTCCCAAGAAAAAGATTTTACTTGTAAACAAAAAAAAAGGTTTTTTAATGATACATCACATACAAAGTAATGAATAGACATTACCACATGGGATGTTCCAAAGCAATGACTCTGAGGGGATGCCTTATGCCTTGATAGGATCTATGGTCTTGTGTCTATGAAGTTCCATGACCACTACCCGATCTCCTGGCTTGTACTAGTGGGTTGGATCACCTGTGGGAAGAGGAAAAACGAGAGACAAATATCACCGTATACATCATTCAACACCCTAATCAATTCCTGGACATATCTCTCTTAAATTAATTTTAGATCACATGGCACAACTTCCAAAGGGCATCTTGTCCAGGGGTGGGGGGAATGGCCTGCCTATAAGAATTTAAAAAGGGGAAAGTTTAGTGACTTTGTTAGGTGTCATCCTCATCTCAGCCAGAACAGTTGGCAGATTCACCTCCCATCCCTTAAATTTCCCCCCCTGTTGCCTTCCTCAATAAGGTCCTATTTGCCCATTCTACCTGAGCAGAACTCTGTGGATGGTAGGGTATGTGAAACTTCCAGTCAATGCTCATCAGTTTGGCTACCTGTTGTGTAAGCTTTGAGGTAAATGCTGGTCCTTTGTCTGAGTCTATACTTACCAGTCATTCCCATTGAGGGATGACTTCCTTTGCCAATTATCTTCTTTATTTCATTTCTCACTACCTGCCAACTCCGATGTCCTATGCCATGGAACTGTGCTATGATAAGAGGAGCACTATGGCGTGGGAGTCCTATTATACCTCTCTTTGACATTAGGCCATTTGTATCTAATGTAAATCCTTTTTGTTGCCAGTATTTCACATCCCCCTCAGTTGCTGTATATTGCAGTTCTTTAAGGAGAGAATGCTCCAGTAGCATAGATGGGTCTAAAATGGCCAAAGACATTTTGGAGTTTTGTAAAAGTAGTTGCTGAGGGCGGCATTCTTAGCAGTGCAGTTAGCAAGCGGATTGCCTTTGACTACAAAATCAGAGGAAGATGTGTGTGCCTTGAATTTGATTACCATAGCTATGGACCTAGGTTTATGAATGGCATTCAAAAAATTATTTATTAGGTCCGCATGTGATATTCCTTTTCCATCTGCAGTAGTGAATCCCCATCTCTGCCATATTTTTCCAAAGTCATGTACAACCCCGAAAGCATACCTAGAATCTGTGTAAACATTTATATCCTGATTCTCAAAAAGTTCACATGCTCTGGTTATGGCTATCAAGTCTGCTGCTAAAAAAATATCATCTGAAGGTCTGGAACAAGAACCATCTACAAATATATCCAGAGCCTCCGGAATGGGAGTTTGTTGCATGTTTGTTGATAAGAGGAGCACTGTGATGTGGGATTCCTATTATACCAGGGGGTGGGGGAGAGAAACTGTAAGGAGATATATTCCCCACCCGCTGGTATAATAGGACTCCCACGTCACAGTGCTCCTCTTATCATATCAAACCTATCAATTTGGTTTCCGTATTGTAATGGTTAGCACTCAGGACTCTGAATCCCACTTCTGACACCAAATTGATAGGCTCAATTTCTGTCTGTAGCCCGACCTGTCCTCTCTTATCCCTTACCACCGGAACTGGGAGAAATAAAGCTCCAGACACTGAAGTGGAAAAGCAGTATTTCTAAAAGTTTAATACACAATAGATGTTCTACAGAAACTCAACAGGCGTTGCTTAATCAGGATGACCAATGAAACCTTACATTCTTATCAGTATAGATACGTGAAGAACAGAAACTACAAATGGCTGAGAGCTACCATATATGGTGAATCCATTTACAGAAAAATGAAAGCACTTCCTGAGAAACTAAACTGAAGCTGTTACATCTCCAAATGGAGTCATTATAACAATGGATACCAGTTTAAAGATCCATCTCCTTACATGCCTGGGTTGGGATTTCTGCCTTTTACTGGCCAGTATCCATTCGCTTGAAGGTGGCAGCATAACCATTGACTACTAACTCCTTTGTCTTGTGATGTACAATTTTAGAAACTTTTTTTTTTTTTATGTAGGGGAGGATTATAACCTCTGTAAGGTTTTGTTGTCTTGTGTTTCAGAGATTTATCCTCCACATATTGTCCGTGGGACAATCATTTTATTGGTCAGGAAGTGAAAGGATACACGTACTTTGAAATAAATGGCCATTGCCCCTTTTGCCATGACTTAACCAATCCTACTGCCCCCTTCCACAGATGGACCTTTTCATGACTGTGGAGTAATCTTGACTCCCAGTGCATTGAAATGTTTGTTTTCAGATGCTGAGCTGAGGTGGCTAAATGCACACTGCATGTTGATGGTTGGATTAAAAGGCAAATGAGGTGCATTATGTTAATCAAAGTGTTTTGCATTGCTTACCTCTTATGTATATACTCAGAGGAGATTGGAGAGTGGAAACAATTTTGGAGCGTGACTTTCTAGCCACGTGCTATGCAGCACTTCTTCTCTACGCATAAGCCGATAATCCTGTTGTAGGAGCTTGCAAGCTTTCTACAGAGTTGCCTATATTCTAGAATTATGATACATGATCAGCCTTCTGCTCACCCATCCACCCGTTCTACAAAATTATAAAGCACTTTAGCTGCCTATGACCACAGAATGGTTGACGTTTGTTATCATTCAGTACACATCTGAATATTTATCCCAGTGGGAAAATCCACATTAACATTTACCGTACTGCTCATGTAGAGAATGTTTGGACATGATCAATGATTGTGTTAAATTAGCTTGCACCTTATTATAGCAAACAAGCTAATTATAATATCTAAACATCACCATTTTGTGGCTTGCAGAGTGCAACATTTTTTTTTTTTTTTTGCATTGATTTGCCTGTTGCTTAATGTGTATGCTGTTTTGCTTTTTGCTCTTGTTGCCATTGCTTATCTTATCAGAACTCAGGAAACGCACACAGGAAATAAGGGGCTCATAATGGACCTAGCATCAGATACACTATATTGCCAAAAGTACAGTGCCTTGAAAAAGTATTAATACCCCTTGAAATGTTCCACATTTTGTCATGTTATAACCAAAAACTTAAATGTATTTTATGTGATAGACCAAAACAAAGTAGCACCTAATTGTGTAGTGTGAGGAAAATGATAAATGGCTTTCTGCATTTTTTTTTTTTTTTTTTTTTTTTTTTTTTTTACAAATGAATATCTGAAAAGTGTGGCGTGCATTTGCTCTGATACCCCTAACTAAAATCTATTGGAACCAGTTGCCTTCAGAAGTCTGTCAATCAGTATAAATACAGCTGTTCAGTGAATCCTTCAGAGGTTTGTTAGAGAACATTCGTGAACAGACCGCATCATGAAGGCCAAGGACCATATCAGACAGGTCAGGGATATGGCTATGGAGAAGTTTAAAACAGGATTAGGTTATGAAAAAAAATATCCCAAGCTTTGAACATCCCATGGAGCACTGTTCAATCCATCATCCTAAAATGGAAAGAGAATGGTACAACTGCAAACCTACCAAGACATGGCCGTCCACCTAAACTGACAGGCCGGGCAAGGAGAGCGTTAATCAGAGAAGCAGCCAAGCGGTCCATGGTAACTCTGGAAGAGCTGCAGAGATCCACAGCTCAGGTGGGAAAATCGGTCCTCAGGACAACTATTATTCGTGCACTCCACAAATCTGTCTTTTATGGAAGAGTGGCAAGAAGAAAGTCATTGTTAAAACACACCGTGAAACATGGTGGCAGTTCCATGTTGGGAAGCTTTTCTTTAGCAGGGACAGGGAATCTTGTCAGAGTTGATGGGAAGATAGATTGAGCCAAATACAGGGCAATCTTAGAAGAACACTTGTGAGTCTGCAAAAGACTTGAGACTGGGGCAGAGGGTCACTTTCCATCAGGACAGCTACCCTAAACATACAGCTACAATGGAATGGTTTGGATCTAAGCATATTCATGTTAGAATAGCCCAGTCAAAGTCCAGACCTAAATCCAACTGAGAATCTGTGGCAAGACTTTAAAATTGCTGTTCACAGTTACTCTCCATCCAGTCTGACAGCTTGAGCTATTTTGCTAAGCAGAATGGGCAAGAAATTTCACTCTCTGGATGTGCAAAGCTGGTAGAGACATCCCCAAAAAGACTTTCAGCTGTAATTGCAGTGAAAGGTGGTTTTACAAAGTATTAACTCGGGCTGAATACAAATGCACGCCACATTTTTCAGATATTTATTTGTAAAAAATTTGATAATCATTTTCCTTCCACTTCACAATTATCGCATAAAATCCCAATAAAATACATTTTACTTTTTTGGTTGTAACATGACAAAATGTGGAAAATTTCAAGGGGTATGAACAACTGGGAACAACAGCAGCCCACCCACGAAGTGCTAGGCCACGTAAAATGATAGCGGGGTCAACACATGCTGAAGCACACAGTGCACAAAATTCTCCAGCTGTATGCAGTCAATAGCTAAAGACCTCCAAACTTTGTGTGGCCTTCAGATTAGCACAAAAACAGTGCGTAGAGAGCTTCATGAAATGGGTTTCCATGGCTGAGCAGCTGCATCCAAGCCTTACATCACAAAGTGCACTGCAAAGCTTTGGATGCCGTGGCGTAAAGTGCGCCACCACTGGACTGTAGAGCAGTGGAGACGTGTTGTGTGAGGAATCGCGCTTCTCTGTCTGGTAGTCCGATGGACTTGTCTGGGTTTGGCGGTTGACAAGAGAACGGTATTTGCCTGACTGCATTGTGCCAAGTGTAAAGTTTGGAGGGGGGATTATGGTGTGGGATTGTTTTTCAGGGGTTGCGCTTGGCCCTTTAGTTCCAGTGGAACTCTTAAGGAGTCAGCCTACCAAGACATTTTGGACAATTCCATACTTTGTAGGAACAGTTTGGGGATGGCCCCTTCCTGTTCGAACATGACTGTGCACAAAACAAGGTCCATGAAGACATGGATGAGCGAGCTTTAGGTAGGTGGAGGAACTTGACTGGCCTGTACTGAGTCCTGACCTCAACCCAATGGAACACCTCTGGGATGAATTAGAGCGGAGACTGCGAGTCAGGCCTTCTCATCTGACATCAGTGCCTGAACTCACAAATGTGCTTCTAGGAGAATGGTCAAACATTCCCATAAACACACCTAAACCTTATGGACAGCCTTCCCACAAGAGTTGAAGCTGTTCTAGCTGCAAAGGGTGGGCCAACTCAATATTGAACCCTACAGACTGGGATGCCATTAACGTTCATGTGCGTGTAAAGGCAGGAGTCCCATATATTTTTGGCAATATAGTGTATATCTTATGTTAACTGCATATATGGTAGGTAATGTGTGAGTGTAATGCTTAGCTATGTATTATCAAAGATCACGGTATTGCTACTGACAGTGCAGTACTCTGCTTTTCAAAAGGATGATGCCATCTTTGTTCAGATGTTAACATAATTCGCTTCTGTTTTCTGTAATAAGGTGCAGACTTAGTTGGCATAATCATTGTGTACACAAAGTCCAGACGCGGATCAGCCTCTGCTACAGCTCCTCGCTTTGGACTTTTCTACAGTGTAACAATATTACTGTCTGATCACTGGGGGAGATGAGATTGAGGAAATGCTTTCTCCTGTGTGCAGCTAACTGATGACATCTCAGCCTAGACAGGCTCACTTAACTGAAGCTCATGAACTGCAGTTATTTTAAATCAATATAATTGGTTCCACAAACATCTTTACATTTTTTCACATCTAACTTCGCATGTTGTCAGCTTGAATACCATTGTCCCCATAACAATCTAGGACACTTAATGAGGTCAAAATATAGTGCCTACATCGTTGGTCATCAGAACTCCCACACAAGCAGTTCAAATTAGACAATATATTAAGTTTATCCACAGATTAAGAATTTGCACTGCCTGATGCACTTGCTAGCCGAGTATTGAACAAATCCAGAGTAGCCATATCTGGAGTTGCAAGCCACTTAATCACAAATCTTATCAGATATACCAGGTATAGCCCAGTGGGCATCAAAAATCATTTTAATGCTGAAAGGTGGAGGTTTGTTACATGTTCCACCCGTGTTTTTAGGGTGGAACGTGTAACATCTTCACAATGCTGCAACCTGCTCTGACATCCCTGAAACTGAGACATACAGGGAGAAGTACCCCATACTAGCTGTCACTTTTTAAAAACAGCGTGGCTGTGCAGGGCTCCACCCGTGCAGCCACATCATTCAGTGTTCTGTGAATGAATAAACTACAAGTCCCAACAGCCTTACTGGCCATGGTAGTTTATAGAATCTTCCTGTGAGTATATCTTCTATCCCATACGGGCAAGCAGATATACTGACAGGTCTGCAGGAGACCTGCATGGCACCATCGATCTGCCGATCGCTAGTGCATTGGTTTACACCACAGGCTCCTGCAACCAAAAATAATAAATGTTTTTTTTTTTTTACCTGGGGAAAAGATGAACTTAAAAATAAAAAAAAATTATTTATATATATATATATATATATATATATATATATATATATATATATATATATATATATATATATTTATATATATATATTTATATTGTTTTACAGTAAGTAAGCATGTCCATTGGTCTGTACTATGGATTTATGTCTTTGGAACATGTTTTAATTGTGCTGTGTGTGTGTGTTTTTTTTTTTTTGTTTTTTTTTTTTTTTTTACCTGCACAGGAATCCACCCCACTACTATTTCTGAGTCATTCCAGTTGGCTGCAGAGAAAGGAGTTGAAATTTTGAGCAGCATGGCTCAGCCGGTGGAGTTAAGTGATCGTGAAACTCTATTAAACAGTGCCACAACATCGCTCAACTCGAAAGTATGTTATATTTAATAGTTTACTGAAGATTTCTTGATGGATTTCCAAATACTTGAGTGCCGTTTGAAATGATAAAGGAGGTAGAATGCTTATTTAAGAGCCGTCATTAAGGTCCAGCTCTGTTGAAGTGATGTGCTTTGAAGTTTTTCTTAGATCTCCTGTCCAGGACAGCACAGTAGAGAGAGGCTCCACCTGCAGAGGCAGAAACAACAGGAAGGACTTTAAAAGAGGCAGTCCCAGGCCTAGTCCTCCAGTATTTGTTTTTCCTCCATCCAAAGAGAACCATCATCTCTTTTTTTTTTTTTTTTTTTTTTTTTTTCTTCCTCTCTCCTGTGGTGTCCATGGTAGGCATGGGAGAAATCACTTTTTTTTTTGTGTTTACCTCCTGCGTTTCTTTGGATTCTTTCTGAAGTCCCAGCTGCTGGGACAGAAGGAGAGCCCTGTGTAAAAATAGTTGCTGGTGTTATAGCTTACACCTAAATTAGGAGATAGTCAGATTTAGGTAAGGAGTTCCATAGGATGGCAGAAGCTCAGGAGATGTCCTGTAGGTGAGCATGGGATGAGGTGACAATGGAGCTAGAGAGCAGTTTGGTTGATATTTTGAGGCCAGGTTAGTGATGTAGCCGAGGGCAGAGTTGTGGATGGCTTTGTATGTTATTAGTATTTGGAATTTTATTAGTTGGGTGAGCAGAAGCTAATGGAGGGATTGGCAGAGAGGGGTAGCAGACACTGAGCGATTAGAAAGGTGGATGAGTCTGGCAGCAGTATTCATGATGGACTGAAGTGGAGATAGCCTATGTAAAGGTAGTCCAGTGAGGAGGGAGTTGCAATAGTGGAGACGAGAGATAATCAGGGCATGAATTAGAAGCCTTGTGGTGGTGTTGGTTAAAAAAAAAAGGGAGTATTCTGGAGATGTTGCTAAGGTTGGGGCAGCAAGATTTGGACAGGGATTGAATGTGGGCCTGAAAGAACAGTTCAGCGTCCAGGGTTATCCTAGCACTTTGGCATGTGGGATAATTGTGCCATCAATCTTGACAGAAAAATCAGGGGAAGGGGCACATGGGGGAGGATATATTAAGAGCTCCATTTTGGATTGATTGAGTTTGAGGAAGTGGTGTGATATCCAGTCTATGTCTGTTAGTAAATTCGGTGATACTTGAGGAAACTGATGGGATGAGCCGAGTGGTAGAAAGATAGATTTAGGTGTCATCCACATAGAAATGGTATTGGAAGCTATGGGAAGCTATCCGCTGACCCAGGGAGGAGGTGTAGATTGAGAACAAAGAGAGGTCCAAGGACAGAATCTTGGAGGACCCTGATGGTAAAAGGAATAGGAGAAGAGGAAGTAGAGTTGTGACACTAAAGGTGCGGTGAGATAGGTAAGATGAGAACCATTGAAGAGTAAAGTCACAGAGACCAAGTAAATAGTGTTGGTAGTCAACTGTATCAAAGGCAGCAGAGAGGTACATGCACCTCCATATCCAGAAGTTCCAGCTGTAGCCTTCATCTCCTTGCAGTAAACGGAGTGCCAGGGAAATTAAGTACTTGTGCTGCTGGGTAAGGTGGCGTTCAAGCAAACCTGTTTTACTATCATTTATTTTTTACTATCATACTATTACTATCAATAGGAGAGAAATTAATGGTTGCTTTAAGTCTGCTGTTTCATAGTGTAATTGTTTCTTAGTGTATTTGTAATTTTATTCTTCTTAGACAGCTATGCTGACATATGTGACCAATTTTTTTTTTTTTTTGGGTTAAGGTGGTTTCTCAGTACTCCAGCTTGCTTGCCCCGATGAGTGTGGATGCTGTGATGAAGGTGATCGACCCATTGACCGCAAATAGCGTTGATCTTCGGGACATTAAAATTGTCAAGAAACTTGGGTACACGAATAAATGGATAGTGCTTACTAACAATTTCAACTGATTTAATTCTGACTGCTTTCAAAATGAAGGTTGGCCGAAAGGTGCCAGGCATATACACTAGATGGTTGAATGAAAATATTCTGAATTGATCAGCTGCTATGGTGTGGTTGATCTTTTGATTTTTTTATTTTGATTTTTTTTTTTCCCCTTCCCTAGGAGGGTGCATAGCAGGCAGACAAAACACAGATGAGTTCAGTTGTAGCGTAGTGTCCTGGAATGTGGAACATCCTAGTTCTCTCTGTGATTAGAAGATTTGTGGATATGCATAGTCTATGTTGCTCATGAAAATTTCACATTAAGCATCCAGACGCAGTTGTACACTACCTGAATAAAATATTACAAGTTTTTTTAGTTAATCTTTTTATTGAAAAAATGAATTTTACAAATGTACAAAGTGTAGAAAATAAAGACAAGAAAACACCAATGCCACCTTTCATTGTCACAGCAGGCCACTAGATTCTCATGTTGCAGTTTTCTGCACTGGTTTGTTAAATATCACTTGTCTAGATGACTGTTCATGAAGATTGATGGAGTAAATTGTTAGTGCAGATAAAGGAATGATTGTTTTTATTTTTCTAGTGTGAAAGCTGTAAGGATGGTTGTTAATCCATCACAATACAGTACAACCTTTTGTTCAGACAGCCAGGGTTTATGAATCCTGTACTACATTGTTTTGTAACATGCATTGGCTGAGGTAACAGAAAAATACATTTTGGTAACTAGCAATTTAAATAAATCACATGAATATTCAAAGTAACATGAATAATCTTAGGTAACGAAGGGTAATCTGCAATGTAGTGCCTTTCTAATGGACTTCCAATGTGTTGCAGTGCTCTGATGGAGGGTATGTGCATGCACAATTTTTGGTCTGTTGTGGTGTATTGGGTAGCCTATTCAGATGAAGTGGCTTTCCTTATGAATTATGTGGATTTTTTGGGGGGTTTTTTTTGGGTTTTTTTTTTCTCCGTCACACTGTACGTGCAGAAAAACTGATGGGAACTGATGCACAGATTTCACTTGCAGAGACATCCGTTTTCATGCACTCTGCAACCAAGGTGACTAAATGAAGACTGCTGATGGTTGGATCAATATGTAAATGAGGTGCCTTATGTTCATCAAGGTGTTTTGCATTGGTGCATTCTTATGGATATACTGAACTGGAGAGTGGCAGCTATCTTGGAGCATGCCTATGAAGTCATATATAAAATTATAAAGCACATTTGCTGCTTATGATCACAGAATGGTTAATATTTGCCATCATTCTGTACGCGTCTGAATATTTGAGTGTATTGCCTAGGTGATTGAATGGAAGTGGGAATGAGTACCTGTCAAAGCTAGGTACCCTCTGACTTAAAAATTGTTTACATTGGAGGGAGGAAGGAGAGGGTTAAGGCAGAACCTACAATTTTGAGTGAAGTTCCACTTTAAGTATCCAGCTGTAGCTCTGTTGGCACAATATTTCCTAAAATAAACTTGCAAACCACTATTTGTCCTGTATATTAATACTTTTTTTGTCTCTTAGAGGAACCATTGATGACTGTGAACTGGTTGAAGGACTTGTTTTAACACAGAAGGTGGCAAACACTGGAGTAACACGTGTAGAGAAAGCAAAGATCGGCCTGATCCAGTTTTGTTTGTCTGCTCCAAAAACAGATGTAAGTTAATTGTCTGTGCATGGTGTTTTTTTTTTTTTTGTTTTTTTGTTTTTTTTTTTGTAATCTGTAGGGTGTTGTATAAAAAACTTTTAAATTTCAATCTCCACCCCCCCATCTTCTTTACAGGAAGTGTATCATGAGCATGCACTTTGTGATAGACAAATTGAAACTTTAGGAGTGAGTCAGTCCAGCTTAGAAGCCAAGAGGCATTTCTACAGGCAATAAAGCGCTCAGAATTTTTGTCATTGACTGTAATTTTTTTTTTTTTTTTTTTTTTAACTCGAAACATGGATGCTGGGATTTGTGAATCCTGAATTTAGGCTGATGTCTTAATGCTGGCGACAGATCTCCAGCGTCAGGATCACAAAGAGACTGCCTGCTAGTGTCTATGGACTTCCTCCCTAGTTGGGCAGCAAGATGTTAGCCACTGAGATTCGGCAGCGTTTGAAGCCAGTAAGGGAGCACTTTCAGTAAGGTACCGTATTTTTCGCTCCATAAGACGCACTTTTTTCCCCCCAAAAAAGGGGGGGAAATGTCAGTGCGTCTTATAGAGCGAATATAAAGCGGCCGGTCCGGTATTTCTGCCACCACCATGTCAGAATACCAGGCCGGCCGCTCAGCTGTTCTCTCCTGCAGGGCCTTACCTGTTCCTCACTCCAGCGCTGCACAGTCTTCCCGCGCTGGCTTCTGTGACAGCCGGGTGCCCACTGCGCATGTGCTGCACTTTGTGAATGATCCGGTGTCTTTTGGGACACATGACAGTTCCCAGAAGGCGCCGGGCCATTCACAAAGCGCAGCGCTTCTCGCGCATGCGCAGTGGGCACCCGGCTGTCACAGAAGCCGGCCCAGGAAGAAGAGGGAAGGATAACTCCGCGGAAGTGTGGGAGCGGGTACCTGTCAAATTCAGGTACCCGCTCCCCCTCCCTCCCCAAAGGTCTGCAGTCTCTGGTCGTTCCCTGCACTGTGTCTGCAGTCTCTGGTCGTTCCCTGCACTGTGTCTGCAGTCTCTGGTCGTTCCCTGCACTGTGTCTGCAGTCTCTGGTCGTTCCCTGCACTGTGTCTGCAGTCTCTGGTCGTTCCCTGCACTGTGTCTGCAGTCTCTGGTCGTTCCCTGCACTGTGTCTGCAGTCTCTGGTCGTTCCCTGCACTGTGTCTGCAGTCTCTGGTCGTTCCCTGCACTGTGTCTGCAGTCTCTGGTCGTTCCCTGCACTGTGTCTGCAGTCTCTGGTCGTTCCCTGCACTGTGTCTGCAGTCTCTGGTCGTTCCCTGCACTGTGTCTGCAGTCTCTGGTCGTTCCCTGCACTGTGTCTGCAGTCTCTGGTCGTTCCCTGCACTGTGTCTGCAGTCTCTGGTCGTTCCCTGCACTGTGTCTGCAGTCTCTGGTTCCCTGCACTGTGTCTGCAGTCTCTGGTCGTTCCCTGCACTGTCTGCAGTCTGCAGTCTCTGGTCGTTCCCTGCACTGTGTCTGCAGTCTCTGGTCGTTCCCTGCACTGTGTCTGCAGTCTCTGGTCGTTCCCTGCACTGTGTCTGCAGTCTCTGGTCGTTCCCTGCACTGTGTCTGCAGTCTCTGGTCGTTCCCTGCACTGTGTCTGCAGTCTCTGGTCGTTCCCTGCACTGTGTCTGCAGTCTCTGGTCGTTCCCTGCACTGTGTCTGCAGTCTCTGGTCGTTCCCTGCACTGTGTCTGCAGTCTCTGGTCGTTCCCTGCACTGTGTCTGCAGTCTCTGGTCGTTCCCTGCACTGTGTCTGCAGTCTCTGGTCGTTCCCTGCACTGTGTCTGCAGTCTCTGGTCGTTCCCTGCACTGTGTCTGCAGTCTCTGGTCGTTCCCTGCACTGTGTCTGCAGTCTCTGGTCGTTCCCTGCACTGTGTCTGCAGTCTCTGGTCGTTCCCTGCACTGTGTCTGCAGTCTCTGGTCGTTCCCTGCACTGTGTCTGCAGTCTCTGGTCGTTCCCTGCACTGTGTCTGCAGTCTCTGGTCGTTCCCTGCACTGTGTCTGCAGTCTCTGGTCGTTCCCTGCACTGTGTCTGCAGTCTCTGGTCGTTCCCTGCACTGTGTCTGCAGTCTCTGGTCGTTCCCTGCACTGTGTCTGCAGTCCATTGGTTCAGAATATTTTTTTTTCCTTGTTTTTCGCCTCTAAAACCTAGGCACGTCTTATGGTCAGGTGCGTCTTATGGAGCGAAAAATACGGTAATTGAAAGGCTCCCCTGCTAGACTCTGCTCCTGTCAATGTGTCACTAAAGGCAGTCATCCATGTTACATCAACAAGAACCCCTTTAGCTTCATAAAAGATAACTATGTTTTGTTTTAGGCCACTCCTGTAAAATGTGGTACATGCACAAGGTGTGGCTGATTTTAACCACTTGCCTACTGGGAAATTATACCCCCTTCCTGCCCAGGCCAATTTTCAGCTTTCAGCGCTGTCGCACTTTGAATGAAAATTGCATGGTCATGCGACAATGTACCCAAATGAAATGTTGATCTTTTTTTTTTTTTTTTTTCACACAAATCAAGCTTTCTTTTGGTGGTATTTAATTGCCACTGGGGGTTTTATTTTTTGTGCTATAAACAAAAAAAGAGCAAAAATTTAAAAAAAAAAAAAAAGTTTTTCTCTGTTTCTATTATAAAATTTTGCAAACAGGTAATTTTTCTCCTTCATTGATGTGCGTTGATGAGGCTGCACTGATAGGCAGCATTGATGGGCACTGGTGAGGTGGCACAGATAGGCAAGACTGATGGGTGGCACAGGTGGGCGGCGCTGCTGGGCACACTGTAACTGCTTGAGGAAAGTGCACCCGGCAACTGCATTTATCGGTGATCTGCTGTGTCATTGGACACAGCTAATCACGTGGTAAAAGGCCGCCATGATTGGTCACTTACTATATCCCATGATCATTGGCGCGCAGGGGGGAGTGTTCTGGAATGACGTCCATGGACGTCGTTCCACAACCAGACAACCGCGCTGTAGCCGTCCTTTGGCTATAGCGCGGTAGGGAACTGGTTAAGCTACATGATATTTTAATTTAAGGATTTTTAGAACGTCTGTCTTATTTTAAACATGACTGGATGTGGTGGAGTAGCTGCAGATTATGCAGTAAACAATTTTACAATATTCAGTTTCACAGCGTAAACAAAACTGCCCAAAGGGAAAGGTAAAGGGAATACCCTTTTTGCCTTATGGCATATGGACAGGATAAGTATTTTGTGTGACTGTTTACCTGACTTTAACTTCCCTGTGTGTGGGGTTTTTTTTTTTTTTTTTTTTTTTTTTTCTTTACCATGTATTATTTGAATTGTAAGCCCTAAGTTTAATTTCAGATGGACAATCAAATCGTGGTGTCAGACTATGCACAGATGGACAGAGTGTTACGTGAGGAGAGAAACTACATCCTCAATCTTGTGAAACAAATAAAGAAAGCTGGATGCAATCTTCTTCTTATACAAAAGTCTATTTTAAGGTATAATGAACAATATCACATCAGTTATGTTCGATTGACTGATGTATAGGGACCAGTGACATGTAATCTATAATGCTGATTTTTCTGTAATTGCTGTCATATGTCTGGGAGCAGGTTATTTGCCACCCACCCATGGGTGGAGAATTTAGTTATGCCACGTTTTGTTATTTTTAGAGAACTGCTTCAGCGAAGTTGTAGAGACTAGCTTACAAATAGAAATCATTATGTTTAGATATTCTAAATGCAGCAGTTCAAATCATTTCCTTGCTATTGTTAGCCAAGAAACATTGGTTCTAGTATGGGCTGTATCTGTGCTGTACACCAGCTCCACCTTCTGCCTCTAGCATGAGGAATAAACACCTTAATTTGGAATTTTTGATAAAAGTAAGATATTTAAACACCGTCCATTATTTATTTATTTTTTTTTTTTTTAAGAAAGTTCTTCTTTGATGGACATATACAGGCAAATTCCTAGTGTGCCATGAATTGGCTAAGGACACAACACACTAGTGACTGCTATAAGCCATTCAACTATGTGCAAATTAAAATAGCATTTTTGTGTTTTGTAAATAGGCAATAAAAGCAAAGTAAAAAAAAAAGCCAGCTAAAAAATATTATTATTTTACAGTATTTATATAGCACCAACAGTTTTGCTCAGCTATACTATAAAATACTATACAACATTTAATATTTACAATAATAAAACCTACTTTTAAAAAATGTTTAGTTCTGACCATAAAAAGAAAATGTCTACAAAAGCAGTTGATTTTTCCCTTTTAAATACCATTATTACACACTGCTTAATCCTATTTGAGGTAAATATACCTGTTTGCTTGAATTAAAATGAATGCTGTTTGATTTGATATTTTTGCTTGCTGTTATCAGGGATGCCCTTAGTGATCTTGCCTTACACTTCCTAAATAAAATGAAGATCATGGTGGTTAAGGACATTGAGAGAGAAGACATTGAATTTGTATGCAAGGTGAGACTACATCACTAAACATGGACCCTGTTTGCTCTCTGCAATGACATGCACTATTATTCTCTGTGCAAGGCATTCCCGCCTGTTTTTGTGTCATTTTTGGATTACTTTTGGACTTCCTGAGTTCAAAGATCAGCATTTCAAATATGAGATTAGTAGCTCTGTGACAATATTTTAATTGGTGTTCATTTTACATGTTGCTCTATTATATTTTATGTATGCCAGAAATGGCTAATTTGTTCATGTTGAAAGCCCAATTTGTTTCCCTTTTATATTTCTCCAGACAGTTGGAACTAAGCCAATTGCACACATTGACCAGTTTACTCCAGACATGTTGGCATCAGCTGAACTGGCTGAAGAAGTTAGTCTTAATGGGAGTGGAAAACTAGTAAAGGTAAGTGTGTGTTTTTTTGTGGATTTTTTTCCCTTGTTCATTGAAGAGATTAGTAGACTTGTTGTTTTTTGTGTATATTCTCTATGTATAAGTGGTTAAATACCAAACCTACCTACAGACCTAACGAGAGATGTTTTGTGGTGAGGTCCATTGTTGATTCTTGTTATAACTGTTTTGTCCCTGTTTCTTTTCCTGTAGATAACTGGTTGTGCCAATCCTGGAAAAACGGTTACAATTGTTGTTCGCGGATCCAACAAACTGGTTATTGAAGAAGCTGAACGCTCGATTCATGATGCACTTTGTGTTATCCGCTGCTTAGTTAAAAAGAGGTATTTTGTGTAGTTCTATCAGACCTTTTTTTAACCACTTGCCATCCTGCCTACTGTTCCTTTGGTGCGGATGGCGCAGCCATTCATAATCACATCCATGTATGTTGCCTGGCACATGGGCGTGCAGCGCAATGCTCCTGTGACTACTGTAACCACCTGACACAGCAAATTACTGTTACCACGACCTGGTCATAGTGGCTGGCTATGATGTGATGGCTATGATTGGTCATAGCGATCACATGATTACAATGTAAACAAAACAATCATCAATGGTTTCCATTCATGACTGCCTGTTTAGTGTTATGAAGCTGTGATTGGCTCACAGTTACTATATGGTACCTGGCTATCTGTACCATATGATTTGGCTGTAGCCGGTCGCAGCATGTCAACAGTAACTATGCTATCATGAATGATAACCTATTCATGACAGCTAAAACTATGCCTTATAACCGTGAACTTCACAGTAGTAGAGTGACTACTCTGATGGGATGGTTAAACAGTAAAAGAACAAGAATAGTGAAGAATTAATACTTTTATATATATATATATATATATATATATATGTATGTATGTATATGATTTTTTTAATTATTGAATAAAAGACTCTTAAATGTATTTATTTAAATTTTTTCCTCCATACTGTCACCAGTCCATATCCCTGGTCTACACCACACCAGCCATCTGACGATGCTGTACTGCACTGGTGACAGTATGTATAAAAGAATTTTCCAAAAACTGGCTAGGTCTCTTACTAAATTCCTTGGACTGCCTACTTTCCACAGACAAGTCATTTGGGGGGCATTTGTACTGTCCTGGAATTTTAAGGCTGCAAGAAATAAGACAACCAGTACATCAAGGTTGATCAATTTTCAAAAATACTGTATACACCATATTGTAGATGCTATACCTCTCACACAAACCAATTAATATACACTTTCTGGTCTTTTTTTTTACCAAAGATATAGAATGCATTTTTGCCTAAATTTTATGGAGAAATTTTTTTTTTTTGTTTTGTTTTCAAAATTTTCAGTTTTTGTTTTTTTTGTTTACCTGACAAAAAAAAACCCAGTGGTGATAAAATACCACCAAAAGAAAGCACTGTTTATGTATGGAAAAGAAAAAGTTGTAAATTTCATGTGGGTACAGTGCTGCTTGACCAAGCAATTTCCAGTTAAAGTAGCACAGTGCTGAATAGCAAAAAAATGGCCTGGTCATGAAGGGGGTAAAACCTTCCTGGTAGTCAAGTGGTCAATTTTTACTTAATCCAGAGGAGAAACTATTGAAACTATAGCACATCATAAAATAGTGTTGCTCCTTTTTATATAACACTGATGTATTCCCTGCAGGGCCTTTCCTTTTTTATTTTTTTCTTTAAAGACAACATCATTATGAACTATTCACATCAGTCTCTTCTTCCCTTGAGAGACATATGTTGTGTAATGTGCCTACCACAGTTTCCCCCCTGTAGACATGTATGAAATAATATGATACCACCATCGTTCACCCAGAGTAGATGAATACAGAGAACAGTGGCACGAGAAGCTCAGAGGTGACTTGGCATGCAGGCTGAGTTTGACAGCCTGGCGTCACCTTCTCTATGATGTTTGAGTGGTAGGGTATTGACGCCCAATGAGGGTATGACTGGATCTCTACGGACAGATTAGACAAGAGCAGAGTTTTTGTTCAGTGATTGTGCACCAGTGAGTTTTGGATCAAGTTGTGGATTAATTTATGAAAGGAGTTGCTTTAAGAATAGACAGTTGTGCCTGCCTGTGTGAGAGAGAATGTAGAAGAGCGTAATGGGGTTGTCCTTCCTTTTTATTTTTTTTCTTTATAGAGCTCTGATTGCAGGAGGAGGTGCTCCAGAGATTGAATTATCCCTTCATCTAAATGAATATGCTCGAACCCTCAGTGGCATGGAGTCTTACTGTATCCGAGCCTTTGCAGATTCTTTGGAGGTTATTCCATCCACACTTGCAGAAAATGCAGGTCTTAACCCAATATCAACTGTGACAGAGCTGAGGAACAGACATGCGCAGGGAGAGAAGACAGCTGGCATCAATGTGCGGAAGGTAATTCTATTTGTTTGTTTTCCAACTATATCACCCTGCAAGAAGGAATAGATTGTTTAAAAATGGATGTTCTGATTACAGGGAGGAATATCAAACATTTTGGAAGAGTTGGTTGTTCAACCACTGTTGGTGTCTATCAGTTCATTGACTCTGGCTACAGAAACTGTTCGTTGTATCCTGAAGATTGATGATGTGGTCAGTATTTAAATAGTTTTTCTGTATTTAAATGCATGCAGCCTTGTGTTTTTATTTGAAGTGGACTTCCCCACTGTAAAACTCTGCCCTAATAGCAGGTACCACAGAACCATAGCTACACCCGAACTACATCGTGCCAGTGTGAACCTGGCCTAATGCCATGTGAATGAGCCCTTCGTAGGATTTAGGATGCTGAATTCGGCATTATGTATGAAATATTAGCATGATATAGGTGTGCTTTCTATGGACTACTGCTTCTTGCACATCATGTGACTTATTCAATAAGGTTGCCTGTCTGTATGCTAGCAGTTTCATTAGACTAGTCATATTTGGCTTCTATTAGTAGATGAAGATTTGTCATTACTTTGTGCTTTCAGGCTCTTGCAGTTGGCTGTGCTTTCTTGCTTTTGTCATCTTATTTCTCAGACCTGTATAATCAAGGATGTATAAAAAGTAAAATATATTTTTTCACTTGGTGTATCCTAAAGTATTGGATGCTGCACACTAGTTTATCTGAATACCAAATAAAAACATAACCAAATATGCTTGTAGGTGCGCTTCCTTGAAATCAATAGTGAAAATTCGAATCACCAAATGCAATACATCAGATTAGTACACAAACCAATTATCATTAAAAAAAAGTGCTCATGCCTGTGATGAAATGAATTTGTGAATCAACAGTGTCCTTGCAATACCTTCAATGTGTGAAGAAAATCAGTAGATAAGTATTCTCCAAATGTGTCATCCACCACAAGGTATACAGCCTCTGAACAGATCCACATGATCTCCAATTGGGACAGATCATGAAACGCTTGTGTAGTAGAACACTGGAAGAACAGCATGACATGTAATATTCACCAGGAGATCCACATAAGCCGAGAGCCATAAAGTTGTCAAAATGTAATATAAATAATCCAAAATATTAAAGAAAAGTGGGAGCCCTTATAGTGTAAGACCACCAATAGAATCACCTTTATTCAGCAGTAGAAAGGTGCTTCCAATGTGGGTATAGAGACGCAATCCCCTGACGATGTACTCTGGTACTAAAACGCGTTGGGAGGGGTCTAACCAGTGGCATTTTTGTGTGTCCCTGTACCCACATTGTATTTAGGTACAAGGTTTACCCATAACATATATTGATTTTGGAGTGCATCACAGAACACAGAGATTCCTCTCCTCTTTGTCTGTTCCTCATTGCTTACCGCAAAGATAGGAATGGTTATAACTGAGCTGGGAATTCCTGCCTTGTTGGTGGTAGCATATTCAAAGTAGTCACTGAATATGAAGCGTCCTATGTCCAGTGATGTACTCCAAAAATGATTTGTTTATTTTTTATAACTTTGGGCCTTTTTATGGTGTAGTCTTAGCTGCCAGAAAAACACCCATGTGTGCACACTGCCAGCCAGTGCTGTGCGCATTCATAGACAACACGACTCCCAGCAAGTCCCTGCTCCCTCCTCCCATTTTGACAGCAGCAGGCGCATATAGCACTGATTTTTCTCTTGAATCAGAATATTCTTACCCTGCTAGCAGCATGCTGAGTCTGACAGGATGTCATCACATGCTGGGAAGTTCAGACCAGATGTTCGTCTGAAAAATGTTCTCTTTATATTAAAACATGTACCTTTTTTTAGGCTTGCTAAAGTTTTGCATATGCCCTGTACATTGATTGGTTACTTTTTTTTTATCTTCCCCCTAGGTCAACACACGATAGATTTCTTGCTTACGATCGCGAACTCTGAATGCTATGGCTTTCTATGGGCATCAGCGCTGGCTATAAACCTGTGTCGGCACTTAATTTAATAAAATTGTTATATGAACTTGAAACATTTGTGTGTTGTTTTTTTTTTTTTTTTTTTTTCCCCTAGTCATTGATAATATTGAGATTTTCTCCTTCTATATACTGTATTTGTCACTGCACAAGACGCACTTTTCCCCCCCAAAAAAATGGGGAAATGTCTGTGCATCTAACGGAGCTGATATTGACCAGGATTGTACCTTGGAACCTGTCACGTGTCCCAGAAGACCATGGGGAGGGAGGACAACTTCTGCTTCCGATCGCCTCGGTGGCTGCTGTGGGAGTGGGTAACTGTCAAATTTGGGTACCCGCTTCCCCCCCCCCCCCCCCCTGCTGCCCAAAGGTCCGCAGTCTGGTCATCTCCTGTACTATGTCTGCAGTCTCTGGATACTGGATCAATCTGGAAATCACTGGCTCTGAAACTTAATGGCGAACCTCAGCACTCCTCCGCCTGTAAGCCGATCCGCTTCCGAAAGCAGATCGGTGAATTATGGGCGGAGTGCTGAGGTTCGCCATTAAGTTTCAGAGCCAGTGGAGATTTCCAGATTGATCCAGTATCCAGAGGAAGGGAATCCCTGTAAGCAGGTGGCTGACCCTAGCCATCCTAAAGGGGACCTCTGGATTAGCAGACCTCACCCATTCATCGATGTGCTGCCCATTCCTTGAAGGATGATCTTCATACACCTACCATACCTCATACCCTAAGTGTCCAGAGGTGGATATAATAATGCGTATACCCTATGCGCATCTGGTAAGTGCGCAATCTTATTCCTTCAGAGCACCAGTATATTGATTTCTGCTCACGTCTGGATTTACCTCACCATATACCCACAGACTTATTTATATTTGGATTCTATTGTGATCATATCTCATATCATATGATTGTTTTATTTAGCACTGTACTTTATCATATACATTATGCTTTTTGTTTGCCTTGCCTTTTAGTTTCTTTTAAGAAACTAAAAGGAAACATTTGTTTCTCTTAACTTGGGAAATAAACTAAAAAAACTTTCTTTTAGCTGGGGGGAAAGTGACAGCTGAATTTCTGAGCTCCTGAACCATACCAGGCCACATGCCCTCAACATGGGGGTTGCTTTGGTCCCCATGTTGATAGGGACAAGGGCCTCTTCCCCACAACCCTGGCCAGTGGTTGTGGGGGTCTTCGGGCAGGGGGCTTATCGGAATCTGGAAGCCCCTTTTAACAAGGGGCCCCCCCATGTGAAAAGAGACACGGTCTTTGACAAGTCCTTTATTAAAAAAGGCTCCGCTTCTGACGATGGCTTCCAGCCTTCTGCCTGCTCCGGTGGTTTGACAGCTCTTAAATATGTAAGGGGCGGGGCCACCAAGGGACATCACCCGAGTGACCCCGCCCCATGCAACATCATTGATGTCACATGCATGATGTCCCTGGGTGGCCCCGTCCCTTACATATTTAAGAGCTGTCAAACCACCAGAGCAGGCAGAAGGCTGGAAGCCATCGTCAGAAGCGATTGCTCACCTCCCGCCCATCCTTTCCTGACCTGCCGAGCTGCATGCTCAGATAAGGGTCTGGTAAGGATTTTGGTGGGACCCCCACGCCTTTTTTTTTTTTTTTTTTTTTTTTTTTAATTTTGGCATGGGAGTTCCCCTCAATCCATACCAGACCCAAAGGGCTTGGTATGGATGGGAGAGGGGATCCCATGCCATTTTTTTTAATTGCTGGCAATTCTTTTACATTCAGCTGTCAGTGGGGAACCCCATTGACACCTGAAACATTAACACATGGTTGTCACTACTAAAAAATACCGCATGACTTGATAAAATAACTCATGCAGTATTTTAGTAGTGTTTACTTTTTTTCTGATCTCTGGAACGGATTAATTGGTTTTCAATGCATTCCTATGGGAAACGGCATTTCGGTTTACGAAAATTTCGCTATACGAAAAGTCCTGCAGTCCTTCAGCACACATCAGTGAAGGAGAAAAAGCACTTATTTACAAAATTTTATAACAAAGAAAAAAATGTGTTTTTTTTTCAAAAATTTCAGTTGTTTTTGGTTTGTTTAGCAAAAAATAAAAACCCAGCGGTGATTAAATACCACCAAAAGAAAGTTCTGTCTGATAAAAATTTCATATTGGTACAGTGTTGCATGACCATGCAATTGCCACTTAAAGTGCAACAGCGATGAAAGCTGAAAATTTGGCCTGGGCAGGAAGGGGGTTTAAGTGCCCTGTAGGGTAGTGGTTAAATAACTTGTGGTTTGTGTATATTGGGAAAAAAGTACACTAGCAGTTTTCTTCATTTTATGGCCTGAATTATTTAATGTGTTTGGTGGACTACTACCCAAAACAATTATAACTTTGCAAAAAAAAAAAAATATTTAGAGTTTTCTATAAAACAGATTTCTAAGGGTTGTATTTATAACAACTTCACAGAGCTAGTTATGCAAAGCTGCATGTACGTTTTGTTCTGTGTGAATGCCAGCAAAATTGATTTATTAGTAGGCTATTTTCTCACAAAGTCAGAGATGATTCATAAGAATGGCGTGAATCAGGAAAATACTGCATTATGGTTCTGATGATCTTTGATAAATATTTACTGTTAACCACAACTCCATCTAGTGGCTATAATGTGGTATTTTCCGGATTCATACTGTTCTGAATTCAGAACGTTTGCCTTGGAGAAGAAATAGCCAAGTAACATTTGACTTTGCTGCCATTTGCACAGAATGAATGTACAATGTTCAGCATAAATGAGTACACCCTAACAGATTTGTCAGAACACCTTTACTTTCAGAAACAACATGTTTTATGGAACACTATACTACAACATACCCCCACAAATGCAGGCCATTGATTGCAAACAAGATTGGTTAATTTGCACACACAAAGTATTTTTCCTAATTCAAGACCATGTTGCAAAAATGAATACACCCCAATGAAAAGTCTTACGAGCAAAGCTAAATTTTAAACAATAAAATCCTAATTACCAAGAATTCAACTACAGGTGAGTCTAATTATTCATTAAACAGGTGTCCAGCAGACAGTTGATTATAAAAGGGCGTTACTTAACCACTTCCAGTCCGGACACTTTTACCCCCTTCCTGACCAGGGCAATTTTCAGCTTTCAGTGCTATCACACTTTGACAATTGCGCGGTAATGCGACACTGTACCCAAATTAATTTTTTACTATTTTTTTGAGACCGATAAAGCTTTATTTTGGTGGTATTTATTCACCACTGGGATTTTTTTTTTTTTGCTATGTAAATGAAAAAGTCCAAAAATTTTGAAAAGTTTTTTTTTTTTATAATAAAATTTTGCAAATAAATATTTCATCATAAATCTTTGCCAAAATTTATTCCGTTATCTTTTTAGTAAAAAAAAATCCAAATTGGTTTATACCCAAAATTTATAATTTTTAAACTTTTTTTTTTACTTTTTTAGATTTTTTTTTTTTTTTTTTTTTACATACTGTCACCCTAGCAGTACAGTGTCACCATGGTGACACTGTACTTCTTGTGGGGGGTGATGAAGATTTTTTTTTTACACACTTATTGCTTTTACACCCATATAGGATGTAAAAGCAATCATTTCTCCTTCTCTCTGTCTGCATTCTTGCACTCATTGAGAAGTACTTAGTGAGCTGTGATTGGTCACAGCTTGTCACATGGTACAAGGCGGTTGTGAATAGCCTTGTACCATGTGACCTCTGATCATTCACAGATTTCACACGTAGTAAGCAATGTCACAAGTGACATCTTGCTTACTACTTTGCATGTGATCACTGATTGGCCAATCAGTGATCAAATGATCGGGACCTCGTACAGAGGTCCCTTCTGACGATCAGTGTTTCACTGTGTCCGGAGGACACAGCGGGCACCGGATCGCGGTGCTGCACGCTCCCAGGGAGCGTGCACAAGCAGGGTGCGGGGAGGCCGTTTATAAACAGCCACCCGACCCTGCACTGCCACTCTCCGGCCATTTATATGCAACGACCGGTCAGGAAGTGGTTAAAGAAAACCCCTTCCCATTTCATGCTGCCAGCATTGGCAGTGCATGAAAGAGAAAAGACCTGAGAGAAAATATTTTCTTTACGCAAGAAAGGTGAAGGCTACAAGAAGTTCAGCAAAGCTTTACTTATCAGTCAGAATACTGTAGCAAAAGCGATACAAAGATGGAACTGCAACCATCTCACACAGACATCCAGGCTGTCCATGGAAATTAGCACCTCGACAGGAATGTCTTCTGATGAGAAGGGTTGAAGAAAATCACCATGCAAGTTCACTGCAGTTAGCTAAAGAAGTAGAAAGCCAAACTGGGGTGTTTGATTCCCGTGACACTATATGGCTTACACTGCAGAGGAATGGCATGCATGGGTGTCGTCCACAAAGGAAACCTCTCATAAAGCCCATGCACAAAAAGCCTGCCTAGAATTTTCCAGGACCCATGCTGAAAAAGACTACTGGGACTCTGTACTCTGGAGTAATGACACCAAGATAAATGTTTTTGGAACTGATGGCTTCAAAACTGTATGGCATCGCAAAGGTTAGGAATACAAAGAAAAGCATTTTTTTTTACTGGACATGTTTAATAGTAAAAAGTCAAAAATATTGTTTTTTTTTCTCAAAATTGTTTTTTTTTTTATAGCGTAAAAAATAAAAAACGCACAGACGATCAAATACCACTGAAAGAAAGCTCTAATCGTAGGGGGGAAAAAAGAAATTTCATTTGTGTGCAGCGTTGCACGACCGCGCAATTGTCAAAGTAACGCAGCACTGTATCGCAAAAAAATGGCCTGGTCAGGAGGGGGGGGGGGGTAAATCTCCTCAGGAGGGAAAGTGGCTAACAACCCCCTCTGCTTCTCAGCTGACCAGATCCATATCCCAGGAGGTTCATTGACTTGATGCTAGACTCCGAATACAGTGTTCCTTCCATTGTTTTGGGGCCGTGTAGTAATGCTGGGTATTTTGCGGCCTTGTCTCTCAGGACTTCCACATGCTGGGCTATTATGTGTTAGCAGTCATGTCCCGCTCCTGTGGGCTGGGGCCCTCCTCCATGGTGTGGAGCCCCAGGACATGGAGTGGTGGCGGCAGATGGTGTGCCGGGATTAGTGGCGGATCACAAGCTCTTTGTGTCCCTTCTGCCGCTCCCCAGTCCGCGCTGCCCTCCTCTTGCTCCCCTCCCCCCCTCCCGTGGCGTCCTGGGTTGCCGAGCAGCAGCAGACTTTGTACAGCGGCTGTCATGGCGAAGAGTCACCGAGAGGCCGTGCTGGCGGCGTCCTGTGTACAGACCCCGGTGCACCCGCACAGCCGGACCCCGCTCACCCTATACGAGAGGCTGGAGGAGGACAGACTGCGCCGGGCCGGCTACAAGGAGCACCGACCGGAGGTGAGAACTTCCCGTATAGACCGAGTGATCGAGGTCCATGGGCTCCCAGGTGTCCTGGATCTTTCCTGGCCCTGGAGCAGCATGTACCCAGTGAATTCCTCAGCTGTATGCCTGTAACTTATTATTAGTTTCACCAATCCATAGGATGAACGCGCGTTCACACAGCGGACAATACGCCACGTTCAGATGGGCACTGCGCGTGCTTCTCTACGCGTCTAAATGCAGCACTACAGTAATCAATGAGCCCGTACACACGGCTGCTGCACAAGTGGGCACTGCGTTTAGCTGAGCAGAAAAACAAATAGGGTACCTCTGCGTCCAGGGGCGCACAGATCGCATAAACGTGCCACGATCAGATGGGCACTACGCATGCTTCACTACACGTCTAAATGCAGCACTACAATAATTATTATACAGGATTTATTACAATAATCAATGAGCCCATACACAGGGCTGCTACAGAAGTGTGCACTGCATTTAGCTGAGCAGAAAAAATAGGGTACCTCTGCGTCCAGGAACGCACAGATCGCATAAACGTGCCGCGGTCAGATGGGCACTGCGCATGCTTTACTACACGTCTAAATGCAGCACTACAATAATTATTATACAGGATTTATTACAATAATCAATGAGCCCATACAGACGGCTCCTGCAGAAGTGTGCACTGCGTTTAGTTGAGCAAAAAAACAAATAGGGTACCTCTGCGTCCAGAGGGGCGCACAGATCGCATAAATGCACCAAAACACAATGTGTAGAATGAAAGAATTGTGCACATGCAAGACTCTGTACACATCTGGGCATAGCGGAGACATGCGTTTCTGCCCGCATCTCTGCAAACACAAGAAAAACACACATTGCATTTGTTGTGCCATTACTTGTTAATGGCTTCTGTAACGTGGGTAGCAGCTGAGCGACAAAATGCACAAAATCGTGCTTGGTTCATCACCAGAATTGGGTACATGCGCCTCCTTGGTGTGTTTTTGAAGCAGAACGAGACCCATTCAAATGAATAGTGCCACTCCAAAAACACAATGTGGGGGCATCACAGATGTACACAGAGGCCTAAATGCTGGTCACATCTAAATGCTTCTTTTCGATCGGTGAGTACGAGTACTGATACTTTCAGTCCAGTACTCGCCGATACTGAGTACTGATACTTTGTGGTGCGATTTGCAACAATGCAAAATGTATATACGCAAATTGCACCTCAAAGAATAGCATGCGATTTAGCTTGAATGCACTACCACTGCTATCCAAATCACATGCACTTTTCCCACCGCTCTTGTGTGGATCCAGGCTCTTATCCTAAATGGGGGTGCAGGGGCGGACTGACAACTCATGGGGCCCCCGGGCAATAAGGGATCATGGGGCCCCTGTGTCCTTGCCCAAACTCAAAAAAGCCTATGAAAAAGGTACCAGGGGCATCTCATGGGGCCCCCTACTGACCCCAGGCCCTCAGGCAGTGCCCGAGTTTCCAAATGGTCAGTCCGCCCCTGTGAGGGTGTGATATACATGTTAAAAAATTGGTGTGCTATTTCACATCGTTCCTAGTGGTCTGAAACATGCTTTTTAACCCATCATGGTGTCATCTACATCACAGCTAACAAATGATCTTGCTCACCAGGATACTTTTAGTTCATGTTCTGATGATGGAGACCAGCCTTGCAAGATGAGGAAATTCTAAGGATTGGGTTCTGGATGTTTCAAGAATGGATTACGCAGACAAAGAGTATTACATGCAGGTGGAGAGACTGAAGAATGCCCATGATGAGAACATGGAACAGCTGGAGAAAATGTACAAAAACAAACTTAACCTGAAAGGAGTCCACAGTGGTGAACCTGTTGTGAAAGGCACTCGTAGGTATGCAGGTTTGACAATTGTTTTATTACATGTACCCATATCGATGTGTGATTGTTGTTATATTACATGTACCCATATCGATGTGTGATTGTTGTTTATATTACATGTACCCATATCGATGTGTGATTGTTGTTTTATTACACGTACCCATATCGATGTGTGATTGTTGTTATATTACACGTACCCATATCGATGTGTGGTTGTTGCTTTATTACACGTACCCATATCGATGTGCGGTTGTTGTTTTATTACATGTACCCATATCGATGTGCGGTTGTTGTTTTATTACACGTACCCATATCGATGTGTGATTGTTGTTATATTACACGTACCCATATCGATGTGTGATTGTTGTTTTATTACATGTACCCATATCGATGTGTGGTTGTTGTTTTATTACACGTACCCATATCGATGTGTGATTGTTGTTATATTACATGTACCCATATCGATGTGCGATTGTTGTTTTATTACATGTACCCATATCGATGTGTGATTGTTGTTTTATTACATGTACCCATATCGATGTGTGGTTGTTGTTATATTACATGTACCCATATCGATGTGTGGTTGTTGTTTTATTACATGTACCCATATCGATGTGTGGTTGTTGTTTTATTACACGTACCCATATCGATGTGTGATTGTTGTTTTATTACACGTACCCATATCGATGTGTGATTGTTGTTTTATTACATGTACCCATATCGATGTGTGGTTGTTGTTATATTACATGTACCCATATCGATGTGTGGTTGTTGTTATATTACATGTACCCATATCGATGTGTGGTTGTTGTTATATTACATGTACCCATATCGATGTGTGGTTGTTGTTTTATTACATGTACCCATATATGTGTGGTTGTTGTTATATTACATGTACCCATATCGATGTGTGATTGTTGTTATATTACATGTACCCATATCGATGTGTGATTGTTGTTATATTACATGTATCCATATCGATGTGTGGTTGTTGTTTTATTACATGTACCCATATCGATGTGTGATTGTTGTTTTGGATTTGAGTACATCTTCATGATACAAACTAACCTAGAAATGACAATTGGCAGGTATTCAGTTATTCTATAACATTTTTTGAGGAATAGAGGCAAACTTTGCTGGGGGAAGGAGATGATCTCATACACCATTGCTGTAGAGCAGGGGTAGGCAACCTTCGAGTGGTGGAGATCTACCTAAACATAGGACTCTGGGCACAGCACACTATTTGTAGGAGCTAACCTAGCAAGGCCGTTAAAAAGTATGGCAGTTTTGAAGAAAACTTGGGGTCAATTCACTCCAGGATTGCACGGTAACGCAGCACACACTCCTGTGCATTTCTCACGTTTTTTCATTTGAATGGGCTGCAAATCACACTGGAATGCAGAAAAAGTATGCATGCACTACTTTTAAAAGCACACTACACCAAACAGCATGGTACTGCGGAACCATGTGATATGTTGCAGTGCGTTTGCAACCTGCATTTGGGGTGCCATTACCAATACACTGGCACCTGCATACAGATCACAAAGGCAGTGTGGGCACCCGTGGTACGGGAAGCACACATGGATTGCATCTTTCCTGCACCACATTCTGTGTGAACTGGCCTGGAAAAATATAATAATACAAATGTCAGTGTAAAAATATGAACTTATCCAGGTCAGGAGTAACTAAAGTTCACAGATCAGGAGTACATAGCGAGGAGTTTACAGGTCAGGAGTACAAAGCGCAGTGTTCACAGATCTGGAGTACAAAAACACGGCGTTCACCGGTCAGTAGTACATAGTGCAGTGTTCACAGGTCAGGAGTATACATCGCAGCGTTCACAGGTCAGGAGTATACAGTGCAGTGTTCACAGGTCAGGAGTATACAGCGCAGCGTTCACAGATCAGGAGTATACAGCGTAGCGTTCACAGGTCAGGAGTATACAGCGTAGCGTTCAAAGGTCAGGAGTATACAGCGTAGCGTTCACAGGTCAGGAGTATACAGCGCAGCGTTCACAGGTCAGGAGTATACAGCGCAGCGTTCACAGGTCAGGAGTATACAGTGCAGCGTTCACAGGTCAGTAGTATACAGTGCAGCGTTCACAGGTCAGTAGTACAGCGCAGCGTTCACAGGTCAGGAGTATAGTGCAGCGCGCAGCAGTAGTACATAGTGCAGCGTTCGCAGGTCAGGAGTATACAGCGCAGCGTTCACAGGTGAGGAGTATACAGCGCAGCGTTCACAGGTGAGGAGTATACAGCGCAGCGTTATACAGCGCAGCGTTCACAGGTGAGGAGTATACAGCGCAGCGTTCACAGGTGAGGAGTATACAGCGCAGCGTTCACAGGTGAGGAGTATACAGCGCAGCGTTCACAGGTGAGGAGTATACAGCGCCGCGTTCACAGGTGAGGAGTATACAGCGCCGCGTTCACAGGTGAGGAGTATACAGCGCCGCGTTCACAGGTGAGGAGTATACAGCGCCGCGTTCACAGGTGAGGAGTATACAGCGCCGCGTTCACAGGTGAGGAGTATACAGCGCCGCGTTCACAGGTGAGGAGTATACAGCGCCGCGTTCACAGGTGAGGAGTATACAGCGCCGCGTTCACAGGTGAGGAGTATACAGCGCCGCGTTCACAGGTGAGGAGTATACAGCGCCGCGTTCACAGGTGAGGAGTATACAGCGCCGCGTTCACAGGTGAGGAGTATACAGCGCCGCGTTCACAGGTGAGGAGTATACAGCGCCGCGTTCACAGGAGTATACAGGAGTATACAGCGCGCGTTCACAGGTGAGGAGTATACAGCGCCGCGTTCACAGATCAGGAGTATACAGCGCCGCGTTCACAGTTCAGGAGACATATAACACAGTGTTCACTGGTCCAGAGCACATAGTGCAGAGTTCACAGGGAGCACATAAGCAGCCTTCACAGTTCAGAGCACATAATGCAGCCTTCACAGTCAGAGTATGCAGCGCAGCTTTACGGGTCAGGGTACACAGCGCAGCGTTTACGGGTCAGGAGTACACAGCGCAGCGTTCACTGGGGTCAGGGGTACACAGCGCAGCGTTTATGGGTCAGGAGTACACAGCGCAGCGTTTACGGGTCAGGGTACACAGCGCAGCGTTCGCGGGTCAGGAGTACATAGTGTCACTTCCAGGCCAGGACAAGAAGGGGAGGGGAGTGGACGTGTCCGCTCTCCTCCCTCCCTTCTAGCTGCCGGCGGTGAGCCGGTCCCAGGGCCGCAGATGGGCAAGCAGAACCTAGGAGACAGTGGGTGGGGGGGAGCTTCACACAGGGGAGGGGGGGCGCCGGAGAGGCTGGCATTGTGAGGAAGCATTCAGGCGGCAGCACTGCCACTCAAATGCTTCCACCTGATAGGTGAGCCCTGCTGCTTGCCCGCAGCAGGACTACAGGTAAAAAAAAAAACGCCCTGCCCGGCACCCAGAACTACATGTCCCAGAGCGTCGGGCAATAGGAATTCAACATCCCTGTGTTTATTGGTGTATATGTACGAGTATATACAATATATGCATGTATTTAGTGCTGTTGTCAGGGAACTACCGTGTGATTTCGTTGTATTAAAAACAATGATAATAAAAACAAAATCTAATCTTTATTTTGCAATTGCAATGACCTCTTTCCCTTCGCTGCTGCATTGGTCTACCCATGCAATATAACAGCCCTAGCTTAAAATCTGAAGCTCCAGTTTTCTGAGGTTGTAATTATTTCTCCAGGGAATCTCAGCTTTAAGCCTCTGAGCACTCCCTGATCTTTTGTGTTCTGTCCAAACACATGTCACACCCAACTCTGTATATAATATGATACTACTACACCTGTTGACAAAGATTGAATCTGACTTCTGCCGTTTACCACCATTCTGTCCCTTTTTTAGCATCTAATTCAGGTACGGTACTTCAGCAGTGCAACGGTTGATGGAAGTTTAAAGATGCAATTCTGGGAATCGTAAAATGTTTCCAATTTGCATAAACACAGTTGCCACTGACTGTTGTGGATATCCATAGAGTCCTGATATAAGAAACACAGTCTACATTCTTAGTGTTTCTGATGCTCTGCTTAAAGGGACACTGTCATCTGCCATTCCTAAACATTTATTTGGAAAGCTAGCTTCCTGGCTGTCAGGCTTATAGCCAGGCTTCAATGCTGTCTATGTCGCTGACCGGGAACAAGTATAGAAAATAATTAGGTCTGATTCATTTAAAGCATGCTTTTTCTGGCTCTGTGATGCAAAAGTCTCACATAGCCAGTCAACAAGCATTTTTAGAAGAAGACCAGTATTGCCAGCTGTAATAATTCCCTCGTGAGTCAAATACGTATTTGTGGTAATCGGGGTTTCTTGGAACACCAGTTGCTTACTTGTGCGAAAAGGATGCCAAGTGTTTACAGCACCAGTCAGTGTAAAGTCCATACTGAATGTCAGAGGCAGTGTGCAGTGGATCACATAGAACTTAGTTGATAGGTACGTTGAGTGGTCCATCTGATTTAAGCACAGACAGCATCAACAGTTCACTGATTGATTTTCCTTATTGCCAGTAGATAACCTTTAATATGTTTTGATTTAATTTTAAGGCCAACATGGGAGCAGAGACCTTCTCAGCCAAATGGATTGAACTGTTCTTTATTAAAACCCGAATTTAATTGGAATGTCTCCTCTGGTGTATCAGAAGCATCTTTTGAGGAGCAGTCTGATGGAGAAGACAGCTGTGACACACAAGATTCTACTTCTGCCAAAGAGAAAATCCTTCAAATGTGGAATGGATTCAATGTCCAGGATTATATTAGGGACACAACATTCGATAAGCAAAAGTTAAAATGTAAAACTGACAAAAGCAAGTCAAAAGAATGGTCTCATAGAGTTACCATTCCAGAACCTTTTGAAATGACTATTAGAGAGTCTAAGAAAAAGGAGATGAATGCTAAGTCCAAATCAGAGATTGAGTTGGAGAACAATTTGCTAAAGAAATTGCTTGAGGAAGAAGCTGAATGTCAAAAGAAGTTCAGAGCAAACCCAGTTCCAGCTTCTGTCTACCTTCCCCTCTACCATGAGATAATGGAAAGGAATGAAGAGAGACGCAGATTTGTAAAAGAAAGAAGCAAGGAGATTCTTTCAGCATCTCAGAAACCATTTCAGTTCACTGAAAGAGAAGAGCGCAAGAAACAATTTAGGAAGATGCAACTTGATGATTTCGAAGAGTCAGTCGATCATTGTAAACACTTCAAAGCAAGACCAGTCCCAAAATCTATATATGGGACCTCTGTTAATGAGAAACTTAAGGAAGAAGAGCTATATCGGGGAATTAGGATACATATGAGGTCCCAGGAACTCTTACGTGCCTCCTCTTATCCTACCACTACGCTGGCTTCTAGAAGTAGCATGAAAAGGTGCAAAGAAAGATGTTCTGAACCAGTAGAAGAACCAAAGACCAGGCCTAGGATAAATACCCAGATACCGAATTTTCAGGTTGTGCATCAAAAGAACCAGAAACATCTTGTAAAAAATAAAAATACCAAACACGTGACCATCTGTGACCCTTTTCACCTACGTACTGATAATATTCCATCTCGTAGGGAAAAAATTCTCAAGGACATTGAAGCAGATGAAGAACACTTAAAGGAGACCCGTTGGCCATTTAAGTCTCCTAGGAGCCAGCCACGAAAAAATTCTTTGATCGTATCTCCGTGTGATGAGGCTCATGTTGTAAGTCCAAGATCCACAGAATCCTCTAAAAGAAGAGAACAGGCCATTAGGTAAACTAATGTGTTTATTTGGGTGCATGGACTGTTTAAAAGCTTGTAATATTCACACTCCTGCATATGATGTAGATCAAGTCATATATCTATATAATTGCTTAATGCTTTGATTCATCAAGCTCTGATATATTCTCTTCTATATTGCTTATGTTGCTTCATAAAAGTGACATAACAAGCAGCATTATTACATATGTTTTTTGGGCTTGATTCCTGCCTGAAATGTTTTTTTTTTTTTATTATTTTATTATCTGATTTTTGGCTAATTTTTGTGTTAAGTTCGTTTTGAGCTTTTTCCCTGTTCCAAGTAAGTGGAAAGCTAGTATGACAGTCTAACAGTGCTCATGTCATGTTGCAAGAGCTCTGCTAGACTTTCAGAATAACGTCATGACAACGGTACTTTATGAGCAACCTGAGGATAGTAAGAAAAACAATCATATAACTAGAAAAATGTTCCTAACATTCTTATGTTAACTAAAATGGAATCCAAATGTGACATATTTGTCATTTTGGGTTCCACTCAGGGTCTTCTCTATTGGCTGGATCCCTGCCAGGATACCATAAGGGAAACAGGTTTCTCTTGTCACAAGAAGAGGAATCCTAGCCAAGGAGTGGTTTTTAAAGGATGAAGGATCTCTACAAAATTAGAAAGCAATGTTGTTATCACTTATTAACATCTTTGAGCTGTATTAAGCATGATTTTTAAACTGAAATCAGCCTTGCTGAGATAGACTGGATGATAAGGAAGATGTTGCCTTCTATATTATTATTTATTATTATTTATTATACAGGATTTATATAGCGGCAACAGTTTGCGCAGCACTTTAAAAAATGAAAGCAGACAGTACAGTTACAATACAATTTGGTATAAGAGGAATCAGAGGGTATTTGAAATAAGGAGATATCTGTTGCAGCCCCCCTCATAAACCGCCCATATAAATGTAGCTCATTAACAGCTTAAGCTTTGATTCATGAAACCTTGAGCAATGAAAATGAGAAAAAAAATGTTTTGCCCATAACAACCAATCCAAATTTATTTGTCCATAAAATTAAATGTAAAACCTGAGTGGTTGCTTTTTGCAACAAACTCCAGTTTTTTCTGCTCATCTTCTTCTTTCCAGCTTTCATAGCCCCTTATGGTGGCTATACACTAGATGAAAAATCGTTTGAAAATCTATCATTTGGACAGTTTGTTTTTCGTCCAGTTAATGGGCACAAATTGAAAATCGGTAGTGACATTTTTGAGCCAAAAAGACGAAGGAAAAGTTTGGAAAACTTCTGCCGAAGAGACAATAAATTGAAAGGTTAATGTGTTTCTTGCCCATTAAAAATCAAATGGTGGTTGGTACTGCACATATGTGACCCAGAAGCAAAAAATGGTTGAAAAACTGATTCATTTATGTCCATGGAATTATTTATCATTTGAAATGTGGTCATTACATGATGGCAATATTGTTTGGTTTTACAACCATGTGTTAGTTTTATGAAAACCCGTTGGAACGATTTTTTGACTAGTGTATGGCTAGCATTAGATTTCAAAAGGCTTAAGCTCTACAAAGAATGCTAATAAGCAAGGGTGCAAAACCCTTAAACAACCTTCTTGGAAAAAGTAGAGTTCTCCGAGAACCATGATTGCTGAACTTGTATCATCCATGCCTCTTACACCAAGTTCAAAGTTTTTTTTGTTTTTTTTACATATTCACCAACGCTTAACTTTTTTCCAGCAAACATTTTGTTTTGTTTTCAAGTACTCTTTATGACTCAGTTATTTGAAGTAATGCTTGAATTTGTGCCTAACCATCATCATATTTAGTAAAAACAACCTGTGCATGTTGTGCCTCCCCACTATACATATTTACCTCCAGATCCTCCCTTTTTAGAATTAGTAGATTAGAGAAAAGGATGCATATCGACATAGTGACCCATGTGCAGTAGTATGATCCTTGTAGAATCCCAAGTTCCTCTTAGTTATCAGAACAAGTTTGAGTCAGTCTATGTCCCTGCTAGGAAGTTTCTTGAAGAACAAGTAAGAAAAGAAGAAGATGAGGAAAGGATCCGAGCAAGAAAGAAGCAGAGAGAGAAATTACTGAAGAAACATATAACTAGAAAAGTTAAATCTATTCACCCACCGCAAGCCAAAAACTCACGTAGTAAATTAAAAGATCTCAGGTAATGGCTGTACTTAGACAGTGCTATCCCAAGATATTTGCATTTTACTGGACAACAGAATCTGTACTGGTAGTTGCTCATTACTTTTATTATTATTATTATACAGGATTTATATAGCGCCAACAGTTGCTCAGAGCTTTACAATATAACGGGAGACAATACAGCAACAATACAGTTCAATACAAGAGGGTTAGGAGGGCCTTGCTCCTCGGAGCTTACAATCTAGGACAATGGAAGCACTTTATCCTGGTTGTCACAGACAATATGGCAGGCGTAGGAACTGTTTATCCTGCACAACTAGTGTAAGAGTTTCCACACTTGTCCTTTTAGGCAATATATATCCTGTGATTAGGGATGACCTCAGATGTGTTTGAGGCTATTCCTCCAGGAAGCTTTCACTGAGAACCGCTAATCATAAGTGGCCAAGGCATTCCCCATCCTGCAGTCTTCTATATATACACTGCAGGGAAGGAAATACCCTGGCCACTTATGATTGGTGGTCCGCAGTGACAGATTCCTGGCAGGATAGCTCAGGCAGGTTCAGACTAGTATCCGGACAACAGTGTGTACTCTCCAGCACTCCAGGGATCAATTGCCATAGGAAAGCCAGGGGAATCAGGATCAAAGTGGCCTATGAATAGCGTATCGGAGATGCAGCCCTCTTCAGATAGGGAAACCAACAACTGGAAAAGAGCAAACAGGAGGTGCAAACCCCTAGTGCATAATCCAAGGTTTGTTTGAAAGTGAAAAAGAATGAAAACATACCCACAAACATAGCATGTATGTAAAGCTTTGTAAGAAGGTAGAGATGGCCATATCAATGGCAGGGTGTCCGGCTGTCAGTGTGGTCGGTTTGTTAACGCGTTTTGGGGACGAGTCCCTTTCCTCAGAGCTAGATTAGTATCCAAACACGCTAGAACTCTTCTCTAGTCTTGACTGTCTTGTTTACTTGCACCTACAAATGCAGTTTTGGGGGTGGTGTTTCTGTATTTTTCTTGATAGCTCTTTTGTTACTTGAGTCTCCGTGTATTTGCAACTGTTGAAGAAGTTATGTGTGGAATGTTTGGCTAATCCTTAACGCAGTTTGCTACAAGGCCACCCTAGTCATGGAGGCACTAATATATTGCACGATTTAAGTAACGGAATTGGTGGAGCAGTGCAGTGCCATAGTGCTATTGCTAGGACTTCCTGTGTAACAATTGTATTTCAAAATTCAGATGAGGCCCACATTTAGAAACTTTTTATTTTTGTTTCTGGATAAAAACTTTGTTTATTGATGAAAAACAGTGCATTGAATCAGTAGACAGGTTATGAAGGAAGGTGCTTTGGTTGGCTGTCCATAGGAACATTGTTGGCTGCCAATAACTGTAAAATGAGCTCTCCATTTCTCATGTGAAGCTGTGGCCTATAATGGGGTCACTTCTATATAGAACATTCCTGAATAATTTACATTTGTTGCTTTTTTAATTCTATATATATATATATATATGCTTCTTCTCTATCTCTGAAATTGTATAACAGGAGAAGTGAAAAACAGAGGCTGGAAGAGTACTTTGAAGAGTTGGACGCAATGAAAGACCGAGTCTCCCAGACGCCACTCTTACTGGAGAGGGTTCAAAAGGTTTGTATTGACTGTTTTTTGCAGTGGGCCTAATAGCTCTGAGGATAGGATGAGTCTGTGAGTATACATGAGTATGTAGTATCCATGTCCCATATCCAAAGCCAATTTATTGTGGTGTGGAATTGAGTTAGAACCTTTGCTGTGTTTTTGCTGTATCCTGCTTGGGGAGATTTCCCCATGCTTCTCTCCCTGTCCTGGTGCCCAACCTGCGGACTGCATTCACGCTTTGACACTTATGTGGCCGTTGTGGTCCATACAGACAATAGTCTGTGTTTTCCCTTCCTTGTTGTTTCATTAGGTCAGTGAAGAAAAATATTATTTAGATTGTCTTCTAGTAGTTAAAGTATATTGAAATGCATCTACTACACAGCAGCCTAAATGGTACCTGTCGTATTGCTTTGTTTAAAAATGTGAAATAAAACAATAAAATTACCTTCCTGTTAATCATTTATATGCAGTCACATGACAGCTAAGTGTACTCATTCAAAAACTGTCTTTGATGACACAGGAGTTGACTTGCTAAACACAAATAGACTGTGCACTTTGCAAGGGAGGTTGCGCACTGGAAGGGAATTTTCCCCAGAGTTAAGTTAATGCGATGAAATTCTTTTGCAAACAATACGCAATCATTTGCAAGGAAAAAAGAAAAAACCCATAATTTTTACTTGCATATGATTTGGATAATGGAAGCTTAGGCTGCACCTAATTCCCTCAGCTTTGGGGCAACTTCCCTTGCAAACTGGCCAGCCTATTTTACCTTTAGAAAATCAACCTCATGTTAGAATAGTTGATTGCCTTGTGTTTAGTTGCCGTTCAGTGAGTTCATTTACACATTTTTCTTGTCTTCTGTAACTTGTTTGTAGAAAAACGCTCGCCTGTGTGCTGAAAAGCGTTACTCCGGTGTCCTGAAAGATGCAGGATTGCCTGATGATTATGAATTAACTAAAGGCCAAACATTCCAAACTTCAGGATCATTCAAAGGTCCTGGTGCAACAAATGAGGAAGAAGCAAATTCAGATGATGAAGAGGGGTAATATTATATACTGTGTCACTTTGATGTCATATTGAATTAACAGTTTAAGAGCTGTTTCTAGCCTAAAGTATTTTACATCAATATTTTAGTACAAAAAGGATTTTAGTAACATATTTGGGTACAAATATTAGTTTTTCTTAGAATTATGAAAAAATTAGGACATTTTGAGAAATACATAGCAAAACATTAAAATAAGATCAAGCCAGATTTTCTTGGACCCAAATTAGCAAAATGGTGACAATTTCACACATTTGATATTATAAAAATAGTGAATGACAGTACACATTGAAATTGGCACTTCCAGGAGTGTCATTCTTCTGAGTCCCCTGCAGTGCTCACTGGTTCTTCCTGCTGATCTCCACATCACTACTGTAATGGATGGAGATCGGGAGGAACCATTGAATGCTGCAGAGAACCACAGAAACTGGCAAGTATTATTTATTTATTACAGGTACTTATATAGCACCGTCAATTTATGCAGCGCTTTACATATATATTGTACATTCACATCAGTCCCTAACCTGCAAGGAGCGTACAATCTAAGGTCTCTAACTCGCATTCATACATACACATACTAGGGCCAATTTAGACAAGAGCCAATTAACCTACCAGTATTAGTTTCGGTGTGGATTTTAGAGTAAGATATTTCATCAACAGAAAGGAATTTGGAAACACGGGCAGCAGGAAAGGTGAGTTAGCATTGACTTCCTCAAGGGTATTGCTCACTTGGACATTTTTTGTAAAGCAACCGGGTCACTTTAATGAGGAGCCTGGATCAGGTAGCAGAAGATCTAATCCAGCCCCTCATGCATCTCTGCAGTAATAGATCAGTGACATTAGGAAAAAAAGATTTATCCAGTATCCTGATCATCATCAGTCATATGAGCACAGTGGTTAAATGGTTAGCACTTCCGCCTGGCAGTACTAGGGTCGTTGGTTTGAATCCCAGCCACGGCACCTCCTGCCTGGAGTTTGCATGTTCTCCCTGTGCATGCGTGGGTTTCCTCCAGGTACTACAGTTTCCTCCCACACTCCAAAGACATGCTGGTAGGTGAATTGGCTCTTGTCTAAATTGGTCCTAGTATGTATATGTATGAATGTGAGTTAGGAACCTTAGATTGTACACCCCTTGAGGGTTGGGGACTGATGTGAATGTACAAAATATATATATGTAAAGCGCTGCATAAATTGACGGCGCTATAGAAGTACCTGAAATAAATAAATTAAATATTGCTAATTATAATCAACAAGCATTATATCACTGTCACAGTGATCTGATGCTACATGTGCAGTAGCTCTGCACTAGACACGTGCCTGATTCTACCAGTTGATTTCTGTTTATTAGGCATAGCAGTTCCTGTCCTAATAGACAGTGTAATCTAACATCCTTAGGACTGATACACAAGCCCACACACAATCTGGAGCCATTTGAGTCATATACCGACTTTGCAATATGTTTTTGGTTAAACAGTGAAGCAACCAAAGGTAAATTGCTCAATTGTGGGGAAAATATCCAATTAATCCCAGACATTAGTGCTGGATAGTATTATTTTGATCACTGGGCCTGTAGAATACATTCATATTCGTTGTAAGGAATGAATATTGTGTCAGTGGTGAAATAAATAGCAAGTAAACTGAGAATAAACAGTGCTAATGCTACTCGTATTGAGCTATTTCTTCTTCTTCCCCAGAAGCTCACAAGGCACGTTGGAAATAGAAGATTTACAAAAAAATGGTGACGATCATGAGGCTTCTGCCAATGAATCTGAAAGAAGAAAAACAGGAATATAGTACTGATGAAGATCACTCTGATAGTGACTCTTAACCAGGATTTACACTCATGACAGGAGTCACAGTTAAAAGCCAAATCTTATTTTGAGGTTGGGAAAATTTCTAAAACCCTAATAGATACTTTGGGAAACAAGTGACTAGGTATACTAACAGCCCCCCCCCCCCCCCCCCCCCCCGCTGTGTACAGTGACTTCAAAAAGTATTCATACCCCTTGAAATTTTCCACATTTTGCAATGTTACAACCAAAAACGTAAATGTATTTATTGGGATTTTATGTGATAGACCAACACAAAGTGGCACATAATTGTGAAGTGGCAGGAAAATGATGAATGGTTTTCAAAATTTCTTACAAATATGTGAAAAGTGTGGCGTGCATTTGTATTCAGCCCCCTGAGTCAATACTTTGTAGAATTACCTTTCACTGTAATTACAGCTGCAAGTCTTTTTGGGGATGTCTCTACCAGCTTTAAACTCTAGAGAGTGAAATGTTTGCCCATTCTTTGCAAAATAGCTCAAGCTCTGTCAGATTGGATGGAGAGCGTCTGTGAACAATTTCCAAGTCTTGCCACAGATTCTCAATTGGATTTAGGTCTGGACTTTGATGGGCCATTCTAACACATGAATATGCTTTCATCTAAACCATTCCATTGTAGCTCTGGCTGTATGTTTAGGGTCGTTGTCCTGCTGGAAGGTGAACCTCTGCCCCAGTCTCAAGTCTTTTGCAGACTCTAACAGGTTTTCTTCTAAGAGCCCTGTATTTGTCTCCATCCATCTTCCCATCAACTCTGACCAGCTTCCCTGTCCCTGCTGAAGAAAAGCATCCCCTCAACATGATGCTGCCCCCACCATGTTTCATGGTGGGAATGGTGTGTTCAGGGAGATGTGCAGTGTTAGTTTTCCTCCACACATACTGTTTTGTTTTTAAGCCAAAAAGTTCACTTTTGGTCTCATCTGACCAGAGCACCTTCTTCCACATGTTTGCTGTGTCCCCCACATGGCTTCTCACAAACTGCAAACAGGACTTCTTATGGCTTTCTTTCAACAATGGCTTTCTTCTTGACACTCTTCCTTAAAGGCCAGATTTGTGGAGTGCATGACTAATAGTTGACCTGGGCACAGAGTCTCTCACCTGAGCTGTGGATCTCTGCTACTCCTCCAGAGTTACTATGGGCCTCTTGGCTTCTCTCCTTGCCCAGCCTGTCAGTTGAGGTGGACGGCCATGTCTTGGTAGGTTTGCAGTTGTGCCATACTCTTTCCATTTTCGGATGATGTATTGAACAGTGCTCAATGAAATGTGCAAAGCTTGGGATATTCTTTTTATAACCTAACCCTGCTTTAAATTTCACCAAAACTTTATCTCTGACCTGTCTGGTGTGTTCCTTGGCCTTCATGATGATGTTTGTTCACTAATGTTCTCTAACAAACCTCTGAGGGCTTCACAGAACAGCTGTATTTATACTGAGATTAAATTGCACACAGATGGTTCCATTAGATTTTAGTTAGAAGTATCAGAGTAAAGGGGGCTGAATACAAATGCACACTACACTTTTCAGATATTTATTTGTAAAAAAGTTTGAAAACCATTTATCATTTTCCTTCCACTTCATAATTTTGTGCCACTTTGTGTTGGTCTATCCCATAAAATACATTTACGTTTTCGGTTGTAGCATGACAAAATGTGGAAAATGTCAAGGGGTATGAATGCTTTTTCAAGGCACTGTAAATGTGCTCAAATGGCTTCTTCATAATTATATTCTGTGGTCCTATCTTCTTGGTTTCCTAAACACATCTGTGGAGCTTAACTAGTTGAGCTCTTTGGAGGTACATAGCAGCCATTAGCCTGTGCATATTTTGTTCAGCTAGCTTCCGTGTTGAAAGGGAAGTTGAGGCAGCAACTGTAGAGCTGCTGATCATTTTCACAGAGCAGACAACACGGTGAGCCACTGCCACCTCCCCTCATGGTTCCTGGGCTCTTCTCTTTCTTGGGAGCCCAGAACCACCGACTTCAGAGTTGGAAAGTGGGAGGAGACCGAGGTACATCCATGACTCAGTCTTCCCTGTACCGAACGAAACCGCAAACGAAGATGATTTTGTCATTTCCGTTTTCAGATCCTTCATTTCCTGGCCAGTACAGCCAGGGGAGCGTCTAACCATGCAGATCTTTTCTCGGTTAGATGCTGTGAAGGGCAGGGGAGACATCGGAGTCTA